TACAATATATATATATATATATATATATATTTAAAATTTTGGGTTTTACATGAGGCGCGAGAAAACACAGCCCGTAGCTGCTGTTTAGAGACACAAAACACAGCCTGTAGCTGCCTGTTTGGAGACCGTTTACAGCACCCTGTAGCTGCTGTTTGGAGGCAGAAAACACAATCGGTGGCTGCCCGTTTGGAGACAGAAAACAACAGCCGATAGCTGTTGGTTAGAGGCGGAAATAGGAGCAGCCGTAGCCGCTGTTTGACGCACGCAACAAGCTGTTGTTTGGCCGTTGTTCGCTGCTGCTCCCGACCGAAGAAGAAACATCAGTTGTTGTTTGATCGACAGCAAAACAGAAAGGTAAGCAAGCAGCTGCTGTTTGATCCTGCAACAGACGAAAATCGAAGCAGTAAGTTTTCGATTTGGATGCAGCAAGGCTGCTGGTTCGCGAAGAACAACCGCAGTTGTTGTCTGCTGTCGGGCGTGAAGAAACAACCGTAGTCGCTATTTTGGACGCACTCGGAACACCGTGGTAGGTCGAGCTTTGACCAGCTCCGAGAGCCGTGGCACTGCGCCTGACTGCCTCTTTGATTTAAGATCTCCTTTTCGTCTACCAGTTGATTCTGAGAAATTGGGATTTCTCTTAAATCCTACAAGGTGAGTTCATCTTAACCCTATATATAAAAACTTTTATGCTATTGAAATAAAGTACTTTACCTATCCTATGTCTTAATTGTTGCACATACTCATTTAAGTGAAATGGTTAGTTTTGGGTCAAAAGGATGAACTTGGGTAATCTCATTATTAAAGAAAAGTCGAGTTTGGGCATATGACTTCGATCATTTGGTAGAATGCTCGTTTCAAAGTGTTGTTGGCATTTGAACTCTAAAAGCTTCATGCTCGTAGTTCGGGATCCTTTATTTGCAAACGAAAAATATTTTACTTGAGTTAGGACACACGTGAACCTTATTGTTAAGTAAGTGCTATTACGCTTATGACACCCTATTCATGTATATTACTAGAATGTAACTAGTCTTAAGGCATGAGGTGTCGTTGTATTGTAGTTGTGTGAAGGATGGTGTAAGTTGGACTTAGACATTGTGATTATTATGTAAATTCCAAATCATCTTTTCWCACTCCCACTCGGAAATAGGCATTGTGATTATTATGTAATTTCTGAGGTAAAGAGCTTAAGATCACGACCGACTTCATAACTGGCTAGGTTGTTGTCAATGGTATTAAACCTACATGTGATGCTCTGTAATGCTGAATTATGACCTACTTTGTGTTCCGTCATAATTAGCGGCAAATCGGGTCTCCCCCGTCATCTTCGGATGTTTAACTCCACCCGGAATTGTGTAGATTTACATACTCCACTTTGTACCGTTTGAAATTTCCGGCATGTAGTTATATATATATATATATATATATATATATATATCATTTTATGTAACAATTTACTGCCCCTTTTGTTTCTCTATTTGGACTCACTAGGCGTAAGCCTAACCCTCTTTATTGAATTGATTGTTTGCCAGGTTTCTTTAGCAGTGGGGCTCAAAAGGGTTGAGGGGAGCGTTGTCTCGTACGAAAAGACGTTGTGTAGATAAAGTTTTTCCCATTTTTGGGATCGTTGCATTTTTGTTGATGCAGTATTTTGTTGGAGGCGGTAGAAACACCCGTTCCTAATCTAAGCATAGAGTCATTAGATTAATAGGTTGTTTATCATCGTCTCGCTTGATGTTTGTAAACGCTTATTCTTCTCCCATTGTTGGATAAACCCCTGTTAAACTTTAGTTTTCCGCTATGTATCTCAGACCCTTTTTATCTCCCACTATACATTATTCTTTGGAATATTGTGGGTGTAACAGATTCGAAGTTATTAGGCCAGTCCATTGCTTTAAGGGGTGTTACAGAGTGTACATGGGATCATTGGGGGCCTTGAACCATGAATAGCGAACAATTAATCCTATTGGGGGCATTGATCCTCATGATGAACTCTATAACATGGAATGATCGCCTACTTTTGTGTTTCACTACTAACCATGGAAATTAGGTTCCCCTGTCACCTAAAGGTGTTGTTTTGGATATTGAGTTTAATCCATGTTTTTGCTGACATGTTGGGTATGGAGTCTTTTCATTATTTATGGTTTGAGTATTGAACCTTGTTTATGTTTTGGGCATTTCATCTCATTCACTTTTGGATGAGCATTGGACTTTAGTTCCATTAATAAAAGAACCTTTTGATAAATGAGTTTTCATCATGATAATGGTGGGTTTGGAAATGATGTGCTTTTGCAAATTATGATTTAAATAACGTCTTTTTAGTTTTAGCATTTTTATATTTAAGATGAAAACTGATTGAACTCACTAGACGTTAAGTCTAACTTTTTTCTTTGTCGGCATGTGAATCAGGTTCTTGAGGAATGGTACTTGAGTCATTGTGTCGATTTGAGGGCTAACTAAAGGTACGTGAAGAATCTAACTGATCGATGACTTTTCCACATGTAGAGATAACGATTGTTATTGGGTTTTAGTAACACTCAACCTTGACCTAATCCTTATATAAAGTTTAGTTTATATATTGTTGATGATTAAATATAATTTTTTTATTTGAGTTAATTCAAGTATTGATTTATAGAAAGACATTTATCCCTTGTTTGATGTATTATAGAAAATTTTGATTTAGTCGTTTTTTCCAAATTTAAGGGTGTTACATATAAACATTGTAAAATTGTTATATTTGTATTTTTGATGATTAAATATATTGAATAATAATTAAAAATAATAATAGTATGAAAATAATTATTAAATAAATTAATGTATAATGTATAATGTATGATTAAAATTAATTAATATTTTTATTAGTAATAATTAATTTATATTTTTGTTTATTAATAACTAATTTTTATTTTTATTCATATTAATGAGGGTTACAATTGAAAAAACTGACAAAAAAAATTCTTCCTAAACTACTCCAACTAATGTTTTCATAAGCTAGTTTATGTTCATCCAAATTTGTATAAAAAAAATAAGCTAACTTATATTTGTCAAAAAATGTATAAAACACTATATTTAGAAAAAAAATAGCTCTTTCTCACCAATAGGAGACATAAAAATCAAGTGCTTTAGGAGAGAAAAATAATATTTTATTAAATATACTGAATATTTTAATATTATAGTTGACGATACAATTTCTAAAAAAGAAAGTAGCTCTTAAAGTTGGACGTAATTTGTTTTATAATTTTTTTTTTGATAATCTATTTTAGAAATATTATCAAATGAAGACCTTAAATATTGCGATAACCACGAGAATTTAAAAATCCTCAAATAACCCATACATTGTTGTTTTATTTAAATATTGAAGATTTTATGTTATAAAAAAAAAACTATGTTTATTAATAACCATTGATTAGTGGTTTAAAATTGATCTTCACGATTATCACAAAATATAAAATCCTTACATGAAAGACCCGCATTAAATAAAAAGGTCATCAATTACAACAATTTTCATTTGATTATAATCAATATAGCGATATATGTATTGAAGGGAAAATGAAGGGATAATGAGGTGGCTTAATGAGATTTGAACACTTATCAAATCATGAAATGTGGTGTGTTTTGTTCATCCTACATTGGTGAGAAAATGATGAATGAAAGAATAGTATGAGTATTTATTAGATGTTGGAGTGGCATAACTAGAAATTTAAGATGGGGGGATCGATAGTACGGGTTGTACTTTGTTATATTATTGTTGTTTATGTTAATCTTTTGTAACACCCAAGATCACATTTGCATATAAACATATATTTACATATATCAAGAAATACAATTTACACAACTGGTCTCACTATTCACAAAAGCTACATTACATAGTAGCTACCAAGTTTTTCCACAAATCTCTACACAAAACTTGTAACATAACAAATTCTCAAATACAAAAGATAACATGATATCCTTAACATCCCATGCAGATAAATATAACTCTTCACAATTTTCCTTTTGCCATATCCTCTGGTTGTGCTCAACCTGTGATGCATATTTTTCCAAAACACCAAAATGAGGGTTAGACCTTGAGATCTAGTGAGAAATCCCTTTGATGCTATTACATGGTGAATAATCACCAAAACACATTTATAAACTCATATTTCTTGCAGCAAAATGATGAGACATCATCAATTTATCACATCAAATAACCCAATAACTCCTTTAACATATTCTGATATAACTCTTCGTATCATATAGGTAAAAATGTAATTTCCTTGCATCACATATCGAGACAACCCCATTTCCTCGCAACACACTGGTGTGAGGATCCCATTTCATTGCATCACATGGGTGCGATAAACATCACTCATCGCATCACAAGGATGCGATAAACTCAAGTCATCACTCACACAAATGCGAGAACTTCAGGTCATCGCATCTCAAGGATGCGACAAACAGAAAACACTTTGATCAAAAACGCAGATTTTACATTCCATTGATTATGCCACCCATATCCTGATATACATCTCTCCTTGATATGCCACCCTTATACCAGTATACACCTCTCCTTGATATGCCACCCTTATAACCAAAATACACCTCTCTTTGTATTGATTACAGATATCTCAATAACACTAATAATCTAGTTATAAATNCCAGATAACATCGATCTCAATCTTCTCCCTTCTCCATATAACAACATCAATCTTCTCTCTGTCCTTTTTGGTCATTTTACAGATATAAGCAAAATTTGCCAAACACTAAAAAACAACTTATCAGCTTATTGCAGTTTGGTACCGCTGTAAGCTAATCCAAACACTTTTTACAAAACTCCAGTTTGATACCACATAAGTTAATAAGCACTTTTACAAAAAAACATAAGTTGTTTTAAATAAGCAATCCCAAACACCCCCTTAATAATAGTAAAAAATAAATTAAATTACAAAAAACAATAACTTTCCTAGAATTTTACGACTTTACGTTCGGCCCCTTAAAACTTTTTTTCTCTCCCTATATAATCCATCTCTTCCACCTTTACAACTTCCCACCACCGCTTTTATTTTATTACATGGAATCGCTGCCTACCCACAAGCGAGTTCGACTCGACTCAGACAAGTCCGAGTCCAGCTCTGTCCATCCGAAGAGAATTCGAGACGATCTTCTCGTCGTTCTCCCAGATTCCGACGTTTTCACGGCTACTTCAGACCTTGAATCCCTCATGAATAGCTTCGAAAACGAGATATCTGAACTTCCGCAATCCGTGACCGTCGCTAACTGTGAAACCGTGTCTGGCGAGTCCCTACCGGATCTCGGATTTCTTTTCGAGGCTTCGGATGACGAACTAGGACTGCCTCCGACTGACATAACACCGGTTGAAACGGAGAAGAATGGAGTTTCAGATGAGTGGATTGAAGTCCTTGGTGAAGTATGGCGGTTAGAAGATCAAATGTTCAGCTATGACTCGCTCGAGTATGGATTTGGTTACGCCTGCGATGATGCTTATATTAATACATACAACAACGTTGAATACGTGGCACTAGATGGACTGTTTGATTATACAGATCTGGGTTTTGCATCGTCGGATTTGTCACTGCAGCCGGAAACCATGCCGGCTCAGTGACCGGTTAGGTTTTAGGTTATATCGTTAGAATATTGTAAAGGGCTTTCAATTTTTTTAATTTCAAAAGAAATACAAATCAGCAAGTTGACCAAAGTAGGAGCCGTTTAGCGATTGCTAAATGGTTTGATACAAAATGATTAAGTGGTTAGAATGATTAAAAAGCTTTTATGATATAGTGTAAAATAAAATATAATTGTTTGGTAATTGTGTATAATAAAATTAGGGTTCTTAATGGTTAACGGAGATCCAGGATACAAAATCATTTATGATTTTGGAACCATTAAGAAACAGACTTTTTTCTTGCCAAACAAGATTCATCTCTTAAAGATTCAGATGTTGCTTCTTAATGAAACTATTAAGAGGTAAACAAACAACCCTAAACCATTTCTAAATAAACAAGTTTATATGTAAATTTACATAAACAAGTTTATATGTAAATTTACATAAGAATCCATTTTTTCATAAAAGAATTATATTTACGTAACTTAAAGAATTTAATTATAAAAATAACTAAATAATAAATGTGGTTGAAAATATCAATTATTTTAATCAATTTCTCTTCAATTTATTGATGACTTTCGTTTTTTATTATTCTTTGTTTATTTATTTTCAATATTATTATTTTTTATTAATATTTTTTTCAAATAAAAATATTTTGATTTGGTAATTTAAAAAACCGGGCCCAAAGATGTTTAGCCCATAAGGATTGGATCAGAACTTCGGAAGGGAAGGGTGAACCCGGTCCGCTGCTACAGCGGCGTGTAGTCAGCTAATCCGTAGCCAGCCTCCAGAGTCCAGCGAGATAAACATACTGAATTATGAAACACAAAAATCTAGGTTAATTTCACCTTCAATCCCACACCACCTCCACCACACGCGCCCCTTCTAACCCTAAAAATTCAGCGCGTGTGGTCCACACAAGACCCTTGGTGCGTGACAACCACTCCACCTTTGCCAACGTATAACACTCCACAGACGCAAAGAAGATGAAATCGTTGTGATTCCGATTCTCTTTTTCGATTCTTTCTCCAACTTTCAAGTTTCCGATTGCTTCTTCGTCTTAAACGCCGTTTCATTCGTCATCGAGATCGGTACGTATATTCTGTTGAGTTGTAACTGTAGACGGCAGATTAGAGATGAAGGTTTTCGTGAAAACATTGAAGGGGACTCACTTCGAAATCCAAGTGAAACTCGAAGATACGGTTTGTTTCGTTTTAGATTCTGTTTTTTTATCGAATCGTAGTGTTTTTATGTGTGATTGATTGAAATTAGGGTTTATCTGTATTTGATCAGGAATTTAACTCAAGCTAGTTTTGTTTCTTCGCGTACGGGGATCGCAGCATTTAGTGTTCTTAGGGTTTGAGTTGGGAAATTCGAAATTAGATTGCGTTGTTGTCCCAGAATGGTTCAGTGGACTGATTAAGAATTGCATTCGATATTACTTCGGGGATGTTTAAATTTGTATGCTGTTGTTAGTCTCAATCAATCTAATTAGAGGACTAGTTAAATTGAGAATTGCTGTTAATTCGTTATTGGAATGTGAAATCCTTTGTTGCACGCTGTTGAGCATGCGTGAAACATGTATATTGCTTGTGCAATTGTATATGTACTTATTTGCTTAGACTCGATTATTTTAATTTGGGGAATTTGGTAAATAGGGGACTGCTCCTCAAATTGGAAAGCAAAATCTGTGGTAGAAAGGCAGCCGACTGATTAGGAGTTTGCTAGGGAAACTCTTATGCAATTGTATGTTTGGTTTGTTTAGGATTGATTAGTGTTTTATGGAATTAATTAAATTGTCAATAACTGTGAATTTATGGAATTGGAATGTGCAGATTAAAGTATAGCCTGTTAATACTAGGAATGTGGAATAATTATATTTGATCTGGTGCGAACCGCCAGGCATTTCCTTGCGTATCTCTCTGTTTAGTTGGTTGTTTTGGGCTCAACTATGTTCCTTTAGCGAGTTGAAAAAAATTCTGAAATGATATGAAGTCTTCAAAGGGTCGTAGTTTATTTGGAAACAACCAATAAAAAATCAAGCTTGTTTCTTGCTTATGCAGTTGTATACTTGTTTTTGTGCAGATTTAGTTAATCTAAATTAGGGAATTACCTAACTTACCATTACTATGAATTCTTTGATATCGATGTGGAACGAGTGGTTGGGAGCACACGCAAAGTCGTTAGTAGTTTGCTTGAATGATTCTTGCTTATGCAATTGTATATTTGGTCTGGTAATCCTGTTTAAACCAAATTAGTCTATCCAAGGAAGTAATTCTACTATGAAGTTATTTAAATGGAATGTGAGATTGGTGGTCAGATGCTGCTGAGCATGCACGAAAGACGAAACGCTTTTCATACCATCACAAATTTGGGTTAGGCTTTATTAATTTTTTAGGGAATCAATATCATTATGAGCTGCTATAAATGCGTTAAAGTCGATGTTAGTTGGCGATGGGAAACCATCAGCTAAGTTAGCGTTTGCCACGCCTACTAATTTTGTTTTTCATTTATGTTTTATAGGAACAATGATGAAAATAGAGTTTTTGTATCTGCTTTTAGTTTAATCATTGATGGTTTAAAAAATGAAAACACAATCTGATTTTCTAACACTGATTTGAGTTTTTAGTTTTGTAGACATTTTTATTATCAACTGTCGATTGATTTGTTGGCTTAAATGAGTTTGGGTTTCTTTACATGATTGAAGCTTCCTTCATGTATGGTTATGGATATTCGTGGACTTGGTGTATAAAGTTACACAAATCCTATATGGCTATATCTATAATACTTGACGTCAGTAATATGATTTTTGTTAGCGTTTTTCTTGCCATCTTTCAATCTTAAATGCTAGATTACTTATATATGGTGCATGCCTGTTAATATTTCCGATTCTCTTAAATTTCCCTTTGTGTTGGTAAAGATGAGTGATATTTTTCATGCAGGTTGCTGATGTGAAGAAGAATATAGAATCTGTTCAGGGACCGGATGTTTATCCAGCTGCACAACAGATGCTCATTCATCAGGGTAAAGTGCTAAAAGATGGCACCACCTTGGAAGAAAACAAAGTTTCTGAAAATAGTTTTATCGTCATCATGTTGTCAAAGGTAATTGTTAGCTGTTTAAGTGTCTTGTGGACACCGTTATTTTACGTTTTTAGAATGGCAGTAGTTCTGGTAATTTTTTATTGGTGGAAAGAGAAATCATCTTTGTCAATGGGTTAAAAAAGAGCTCATAACTGTTTCAGCACCATTGCACAAACTTATGTTCACCAAGAACACTCTCTCTTTTGGAGATGCTTTGGCTTTTATTCATCACAGGCTTGGGCTTTAATTAATTGACCAACAGTTTCTATGGAATCTGCAAATTAGATACTTCTCCAATCTCATGTTGAGCTGAGGAAGCTTTTTCATTCTCACTCAAATATTGTAAAAGGAGCTTATTATACATAGGGAGCCAAACCATACATTATAGGAAAGACCTTTTTCTTCTACAACATCCAAGGCTACCTATTTTTCGTCTAACAGTTATTAGAAATGTGCTATGTGGGTGAATTCTGCCAAATTACCATCGTTTCCAGGAGTATAAATCACCGAGCAAGCATTTGTCTTTGCATAGAAACAATGGGTTTGAAACCAGAATTACTTATGCAGGTTTTTTACCTGCATGATAACCTTATTACATATTGGGAGCCCACCCAAACATAACAGTATAGACGCCTTTATGTTACAACGCATCTTAGGATGCCTTGTTTCTATTGGATGGTTCTTAGAAATATGCTTTGCGGGCACGTTTTAACCAAATTATCGTTGTTTACAGAAATATAAAACAGTGTTCTAAAAAAGCTTTAAGTGTAGCTAGGTGATCAGTGATCTTCTTGTGGTAAATAAATAGACTAAGTTGGGATTAAGCGAAGGACTTAGGAGACACGTATCGGGTTGGGGGACCCATAATATATATGTATATAAAACTAGTTTTTAATTACGTGAACATAACTATTTTGATATAGTTAGTTTATTAAATGATCAATTTCATTCTCATTTATTGATACAACTAGTAAAGATTACTCTCTAAGTTTGGAAAACACGACTATGAATAAAGGTTGAGAAAAGTTGTTATTTCTTGTTTAATTTTTTGAAACACTTAATTCAGCAGTTAGTCTGTATATAGTCAAAGTGTGGGGGACCCATAAATCCTAAATGGTCAATTAAGAAGTTCTATGTAATTGAAGCTTCAGGAACACTCAAAGGCCAAAGCCTAGTGATCACTTAGGCATCCCCAAACAGGGACTTCTAGAATATCTGCATAAATCGTTATGATGGTATTCGTTTCTTGCTTAAAAACAACAGATTTGAAACCAGAATATCAGGACATAAATACCTACTTAGCAACCTATGATAAAGTCTTGAATCTTGTTGGTTTTCTCTCTCCATCAATCATCTCTTCTTTGTCCATTGATAGTTCCCAATTTTTCTCCCTCCACTTTATTGCTCTCCACTTACTCTTTACATCGCTTTGAAGAAGCTTTGGTATAAAAATCCATACAATCTCTGAACAGCAGATTGGCCCAATAGTATATGGAGTCATCCCAACATCTTCACTTGTAAATTTCTTATTAACATAATGAAATCCAGCAAATGTTCATGTTTAACAGTATTTATGTTCAACTATAGGCGCTATTGAATTTGCTTTCCAAAAATAGCGAAAGGTCATATTAAATAAAAGCATAAGCATCACGAAGATGAATGATTGAACCACCTATTATCAGTTGTTACTAGATGCGCTTGCCTTCAATATCAACCCACTAGAGCCCAGCTTTGCTAAGCTGGAAAAAAGTTGGCAACAGCAAATTTCTGATAGAAAAAGAATAACTATTGTTTTATACATACCAGCCGAGCCATCAAGTAACCGTCTATATCTTGATTTAATCATCTTCAACATCGAAATTATCCGTGTTCTGACAGTAGTATTTATCTGAGCATTAATGATGGGAAGTAGAGGGTTACGAGGGGACAAGGAAGAGTCGGTCTTGTTTATGACTCGAACTTCAAAAATGAACTAACATTTTTAACTAAGAAGGGAAGATGATATTCGACCTGATTTGTTGAAATCTGATGTGAAAAGTATTGAGTTTCCTTTGTTGAAAGTTTGTAATCTTGCTTGAAATGTTCGTTCTATAATTTAAGCTGTCATTACTGCATTTGTATTTAGTTGAGGTGGCGTATTATAGTTGTTGGTGTTAATATTAATATTGCTATTATATTCTGTAACTCAGTGTTGTATTTATAGTCCATGAACACACAACCTGAGAACCATATACTGATTGGGATTGACTCTAAGATTGGTGTGAACCACAAACTGAAAGTGCTATGCTATGTTCCGTATCGTGAACCTCTGTACCATGAACCAGAACTGGTCCGAGTACTTTTGGGCAATTGTAGGCAGCTTAGTTTCTCATCATCGAGTCGCCTCATATTTTGACAAATTGACCATATTAGGCTGTAGTGTCCAACCTGATGCATGTTTGTTCAAATTGTCTTTTATAGTCTGCTTAGCAGTTAGCTCTGTAAGGAACTTGCAGAGTCCGTACTGAAGTATGAAAATTTTCATTTGCAATTTCTTTTCAAACTTGCAGAGCAAGAGCTCTTCCGCTGAAGCTTCAACAGCAGCAGCTGCCCCCAAGGTACTGATTTATGATACGTAATTTAGTGTCTCTTTTTTTCACTGTTGTTTTGGATAGGTATGAAATTCCAAGAACATCCTCATAGTTTAAAAAATACCGTCATAGAAGTTATATGCTTGTTCACAGGCATGATTAATCCTACATGCAATAGACATTAGAACTTTCTTTGCATCACAACTTGTTTTTGTAACCCTTTCCTTCATGAAGCTTGCAGTGAGCCAGTAAGATATTTTGGCACTGGTACAGCTTGTCCTTATGGGTTCATTTGTTATGCGGGAGGACGGGACATGACAAAATAAGAACTTCTTGTCCCACATTTGGTGTGACAACTAAACTGGGACAGGACTTGACTGAGTGGGACAAATATGCGGGTATTTATGTCCCAGTTCTCACCAAAATATGTTGAACAAAAATAGGATAAGATTGGTAAATTACTAAACTAACCGTGTCAAATTAAGACCTTCCACAATTCTTTCGCCCACGTACCTTACTCTCGCCAGTCCAGTCCGCTCCACTTACCAAATGAAACATATAAGAACAATATGTTGCTCTAAGTTGCTGTGAGAAATTTGCTTAATTGTATCTACACGGGTTTTATGATTTGAGTTGCCTAGCATGCTGCTTTTTGTCGTGTTAGTTTTAGTACTTTTTTCTTTTAGGTTGCTGAATTTCTTTTGTTATGCCGGTTAAATTATGTTGTCTGGAAACCAGGAGCCTCAGACAAGTACCCCTCCTCCTGCTGCTCCAGTGCCAGCAACCCCGCAGCCTCCTGCAACTGTGACTCCGTAAGCTTAAACTGCTGTTTTGTTTTTGTGTATATTAGTCATTGGTAGTATTGTGTTACAAGCCAATTCGAGTTGATTTTGATATAGTTCAAACACATGGAATAATAGTTTGTCACTCGACTTATCTTTCTACTATGCAGGCCTGCATCTGTTCCTTTATCGACTCCGGCCTCAGACACAACATCCGTCGTGAATGCTCCGTCAGTTCTCCAATAACATAAAATTGTTATAGCTATCCCACTTAATGTTGGTGACTCGTGTTAGATGGTTTAATGAAGTCTCTACTGAATACTGATGTTTGTTTATGTAGGTCAGAGAATGTGTATGGCCAAGCAGCATCACATCTGGTTGCAGGAAACAATTTGGAGGGTGCGATCCAACAGATTCTTGATATGGGTGGAGGTACTTGGGACAGGGATACAGTCATTCGTGCACTTCGTGCTGCTTTCAACAATCCTGAAAGAGCTGTCGAGTATTTGTATTCTGTAAGTGCTTTAATATCTCATGATTTAATTTTGTATTCGAATTTGGGAATGGACTTGCTGCAATCTGAAGAAATATATCCATGTACTTGCCATCAGATATCTTTCTGGTTGTATGTCATGCGGAAGTGAAAACCATTGACATTTGTAATGTATCTGTTAATATTACCAAATAATTTTGTTATTCTAAAAAGTGGTGTGATTATATATGATATTTTAGGGCATACCTGAGGCAGCTGAACTTCCTCCAGTAGCTGGAGCTCCAGCAGTGCCAGGTGTCCAGGCTGCAAACCCTCCAATTCATCCCTTGCAAGCCGCACAACCAGCGGCTCCTCCTCCAAGTGGACCAAATGCAAACCCCTTGAATCTCTTTCCTCAGGTATGTGGTTAGCAGCCTATACGTGGTATTGGCATTTAGCGGAACATGTTGAATGGTAAACAAACCGTGCCCAATATACCTCACTCACCTGAAGGTAGGGTGGCCGTTTCCAAAAAACCCCTAGAAACACTTGTTGACTTGTTAATTTTGGCGTGTAGGGTCTTCCTGAGATGGGTGAGAATGCTCCCGCAGGTGCTGGTGGCAACTTGGATTTCCTGCGCAACAGTCAACAGGTATACATAGTAAACAGACCCACATGTACTCTGTTGTTATTGTTTTTACTCTTGATAACCAACCCCTCCTCCCCTTGTTTCTTTAAACTCCAGTTTCAAGCTTTTCGAGCGATGGTGCAAGCTAATCCACAAATCTTACAGGTATCTATTCTCTATTATTTCTTCTTCTTCTTCTTCTTGTTTTATATGTATACATAAATAGATAACATGGATGCATGCATCTACAAATGATTGATTTTACCGACAGCCGATGCTCCAAGAGTTGGGTAAACAAAACCCTCAGCTGGTGAGACTGATTCAAGAACATCAAGCTGATTTCCTTCGTTTGATCAATGAACCTGTGGAAGGCGGAGAGTATGTGATCACTGTGTTCTATTTGATACTAGTTGTTTTTAGCTTCCTTGATCCCGATATCTATGTATATGTGTGTGTGTTTATTATATCTTGTTGGTTGGTATCAGGAATGTACTTGGACAGCTTGCTTCAGGGATGCCTCAGGCTGTAACAGTTACACCTGAAGAACGTGAAGCTATCGAACGTGTAAGTTGTTCTTATTGTTTTTGTGAATTGAATTGAAACTGCAATATCTGATGATCTGTTTATTGTTTCAGCTTGAAGCAATGGGATTCGACAGAGCACTAGTATTGGAGGTGTTTTTTGCGTGCAACAAGAACGAAGAATTGGCTGCCAATTACCTGCTAGACCATATGCACGAGTTCGAAGACTAGTGTCGTTGTGGTTATTTTAATCTTTGAATCCAAAGCGTATGCAGTTGCTCACTTATCTTTTCATTTCCGAGTGCATGCGTATACTTTTGGATATTAAAATTGAAAAAATGGTCTTGGTACCTTTGCACTTCCTTTTCTTGTTGCAGTCTAATAACATTTATTGCCCTCATTCATCAACTGTTATGCATCACAAAGTTAAGAATAATAAGAACTAGTTCACTTTTTTCCTAAAAGATCTAGGCATTGAAGTGAAGAATAATGGGTAGTTTAGTCTTACTTTGATACGGGTAGACGGGTTGTTATGGTTTTACCGATATCTGTCTGTTATTTTTATCTATTTTGGTAGGAAAAAAAACACTTATCAGTAAGATCCAACACTATTACTTATCTTACCGGATAAGATTCAACACTATTACTCATCTTACCGGGTAAGATTCTAGTTCATCAAAACATCAACGTATGCAACAAGTTACCCGATGAGCACTAACTGGTAAGACTTGGTCTTTGTCATTGTTCTTACCGGGTAAGAGTCGTCACCTTGTTTACAGGGTAAGACCCGGTTTTTATATTACTTTTACGGGGAACATTCTCAGTCATTATCATGTTAGTCCAGTAAGATAAGTGATCAGATAAGCATTTACCGAAGGTCCTTAGTTTATATTTACTTTTTCAAATAGTTAAATACATCTTATTTTAGGTACAAGGAATTTGTGGGAAAAAGTTGTAGTCATGCAATAAACATGATGGGGGAAACTGTAAGACGTTACATACTAAAAATAGCACAATATTCCCTCACCATCACCACAATCAAATTGGATATTTGCATACTTTATGTATCTGTTTAACAATTGGGTAATATGCAATGGGATGTGTTCTTAGATAGAATACATACCAAAATAAACAATTCACCAAGTCAAATACTACATTTTTAGAACTAAAAAGGATATGATATGAAGAAAAAAAAGAAAATGATAGACATTACGCTTTATACAAAACTTAGAAGAAAATGAAATAAAATTACATATTGCTTATTAATTATAACTTGTCGTAAAATAAATAAGAGTGTATTTATAAAGTTGATTTAAAAAAATAATATATAATTAAATTTGTATAATCTGAGAAGTGGATGAGGTCCATATGTAGGAGTAGGAGTAGGACCACGACCGTGACCGTCCCACTAATTTGTTTCTTGATGGACCCGCAACTTAACTAAGGTCCAAACGAAATGACTACATGATGTATTCATTGTATTGTATACTAACAAGCGGATCGAAGACAAATTATCTTGACGATTGATGTCGGCACGTGGGTATCGTAGCACTGTTTTTTTATTTGTCAGATTATATATATATATATATATATATATATATATATATGTTCAAACGATAATGCTTCTGTTTATAAAAACATGATAACACTTTTATGTAGGAGTGACTTGACCTGCAACTTAATTCGCACCAAAGGTCGTCTGCATCTTTAATTTTAGTTTCACATGTGTATTATATGTGATCAAACACAATATCACATAAAATAACACATTTATTATATATGATAATACACGTGAAGGAGACTAATAGTGTACGAGTGACTTGACCTGCAACCTAGGTCGCTCCAAAGATTGTCTGCGTCTCTGATTTAGTTTCACATGTATATTGTATGTGATTCAATACAATATCACATGTAATTGACTATAGTAAAGAGGTGTTATCACGTTCTTGTAAAATGAAGGTGTTTTCATTTGAACCCTTCCATATATATACATAAGGCCAAGTTCAAACAATAAGTTAAACATTTTGCAAGAAAACAAGCAGTTTCAATATCATGTATAATTACACGTATGATACACAAATTTAGAATATATGATTAAACACTTGTTGTATTGATAACATATAGACGCTTAATCATGTATGATTAAACAAAAATACCCAAAGAAATGTAATTATATATGATATTAAGTTTTCTCGTCTTCTCACATAATGTTTAACTTTCTTAAATGGTTCTTCCCCCCCCCCCTCTCTCTCTCTCTCTCTCTCTATATATATATATAGAGAGAGAGAGAGAGAGAGAGAGAGAGAACAAATAAACTATAAACCGCCTAAATGTTACACTACAAACCAATCTTGCCCCTTGATTTTGTGCATTTTGAAAATTTTACGTAGTTTCCAAATCAGTTGCGAATAAGGTTGAGAATGAATTTCGAAACCGATTTAATCCACATTATTGACATTGATTTGATAATCTGAATGAACAGTTGAAATTGATTTACATGATATACAACATTTAGATGATTTGTATTTGATTTGATATATTTATATTATACATCCATTATCAATTAATATAATATAATATAATATCATCATTTGATTTGATTTGTTGAATGATAACCGTAACAACATTAATCTAATCTAATTGATTGTTAAAAAACAAATGTATACGTTTGACCTTAATTTTAAATCAAATTCGAAATGAATATTTATACATAAATTAATTAACCTTATATATAGAAAAAAATCCCAAAAAAAACCCTTCTAAATTCATACTTCCTACACCTTCAAGCAAGATGGGTCTAGGGTTAACTTCTCTCTCTCTTCATATTTCATATTCATAGACGAGTGAACGTGTGAGAATAACAGTTACAGTGAAAATGTTAAGAACGCTTCTGAACCTTTGAATGAATTGATTTTATAATCTAACTGAATTTTTTTTAAATTCACTTTTAAGCTACTTTCACAGACTTTTTAATGCATTAATCACCTTCAAATGTATGAATTTGTTAAAATTTCGATCATACTGGTAAAAAAACAGATAAATAAAGATAGTTGAATGTATATGAAAGCTTTATTATCACATTCTCATCGTAACTCTTATTCTCACTGGAACCCAACCCAATGTTACATGAGGTTTCTACAAATTACTTCCAATCCTATTCCTACCACAAATATTTGTAGGAAACAAATATCTTGAATAGAAAAGCATGAATTAAGTTAGGCACTATAGCTTATCTTTTTCAAAGCCTAATAATCCCCCATCAAAATCACAACTTAATCATTAAGCAGTTCAATGTCTTAAATTATACACATAGTAACAACTTAATGGATGAATATATACAACTTTTAGTTTCAAATTCTTTATACAAGTGTTGTAGCTGTCATAAATAATTAATTATTTTGTAAAAAAAATAAAAAAATGGTATATATTCAGAAATGAAGGACGGAAGTCCGTACTAATTAGACTCTACTGCAGTAAACAAAAAGCTACATAGATGGAGGACAAGTTGATAGATATGATTGAATCTCCCCGTGACTTGTTTTTACCTAAAAACTTATCCGGTAGGCATTTATCGGTAAAATTCAACATTATCGCTTACCACTAAAACCCATCGTACGCAGCAATTTATCCCAGTAAGCACTAACTATGGCAAGAGTTTTCGTTCTCACTTACCGGGTAAGACTCTTGATTCTTGTTTTCGTTTTTATCAGGTAAGATTTTTAGTTCTTGCCATATTCATCCGGTAAAGTAAAGTGACTTGGTAAGCGCTTATCCGGGTAAGTTAGCGAATATCATCCTTCAACCAACCACAGCAGCTATTATTGGCCACAAAATGGTGGCAGCAACCTAGAGAAAAAGTTGCAAGTAGATAGTAAAAACAGCAAGTCTGGCATACCCTTTAGCCTATTTAAACAAGCTTTGAATCACCATTAGAGTTTCAAGGAAACCAAAATGAACAAGATCCAACCCAAAAGGATCAAGGGTGGTATCATCACCATGCCCTTCATCTTTGGTATGTCATCAAGCTCTTCCCAATAGTTTCTGCATTTTCTCTATTTCATTACTTATCTTGTCTTGATTTTAATTGGTAGCAAATGAGATATGTGAGAAGTTGGCCGTCGTCGGATTTCAAACGAATATGATCAGCTACTTAACGCAACAACTCCATATGCCGATGACTAAAGCCGCCAACACTCTCACCAATTTTGGCGGCACTGCTAGCTTGACTCCGTTGCTCGGAGCTTTCGTTGCCGATTCCTTTGCCGGCCGCTTTTGGACCATCACCGTTGCTTCCATCATTTACCAGATAGTAAGTCTGTCTTTAATTTATCAGCTACACACATACCATCAAACCTGTTGCTATCCGGTCTTCTAATACTGTTATATATTAGGGACTGGTATCTTTGACATTATCCGCGGTGTTACCAAAGTTAAGACCCCCACCATGCAAAAATGGAGAAATCTGCCAAGAAGCTAATACGGGTCAAGTGGCGATCTTGTACGTGTCGCTTCTGTTAACGGCGGTTGGATCGGGTGGGATCCGACCGTGCGTGGTGGCGTTTGGGGCGGACCAATTCGATGAAACGGATGAAAAACAAAAGACGAGCACATGGAAGTTCTTCAATTGGTACTACTTTTCGATGGGGGCATCGATGCTGGTGGCGGTGACAGTAATCGTCTACATTCAAGATAATATCGGATGGGGTTGGGGTCTCGGTGTTCCAACGATAGCCATGACTGTTTCGGTCATTACCTTTGTGATCGGGTACCCGTTGTACCGTAATTTGAATCCGGCGGGTAGCCCGTTTACCCGATTGATACAAGTGTGTGTGGCAGCTTACAAAAAGAGAAATTTGCCTATGGTTTCTGATCATAAACTGCTGTACCAGAATGAGGAGCTTGATGCCTCCATTTCTGTCTCTGGGAAGCTTCAGCATACTAAACAAATGAAGTAAATCTCTCACTCTCTACCTTACTGTAACAATATTTTGTTACAATCAAATGTTAAATATGTCTAAATGTCTTGATAGACTATTTTATAAGATCAAACAATTATACACCGTACATAAAGCTGTCACACTAAGTTGATAAAGATATTTTTAGACGTCTGTCAACTTACTTTACACTTTTACATAAGACTCTCAATTATTTAGTTACGTGAATCTTATAAAGCAAAATGACAGTGGAAGGATTAGGCCATCTTTTAATCAGTGATTAGCCTAAACACGTGTTATCCAACATCACATGATAAATTGATAGGTATGGTGCAACTTTATGCATTTCAAATGACACATTTACCCTTCTGCTATCTTTTCTTTATCAACAGTGTTAGGGGTATAATCTGGATTACGAAAAAGGTTTATGTACATATCTCTTTCATTAGCCCATGGATAAGCATGTCTCACGTACCTCTTTCCTCTTTTCTCGAATTTCAAGAAAATGTGTACTTTGACTTTTTGGAGTCAAACCTATTACTTTTTAAAGTACCAAATAATACGAATTTTACATTCTTTTGACACCAATTAAATTCACCCTTGTAGCATATTACTATAATCTTTAACACTGATGTCAGTATTTCTCTATATTTGATGAACTCGTATCAGTTTTTGACGTCGAAGATATGTCTGTTTGACCAAAAAAGGTCAAATTGCACCTCTTTTTGGTTCAAAATCAAGATTCATTTGTTTGATTATATGAGAGAAGACTCATCTTACTCACTAACATTTCAGATTTCTGGACAAGGCTGCCATCGTCACCAAAGAAGAATATGCAAAATCGCAGTCAAACCCGAACTTATGGCGGCTAAATACGGTCCATCGAGTCGAAGAACTAAAGTCGGTACTTAGAATGGGGCCAATTTGGGCATCTGGGATTCTTCTAATCACAGCTTATGCACAGCAAAGCACATTCTCCCTCCAACAAGCCAAAACAATGAACAGAAGCCTCACAAGTTCATTCCAAATCCCAGCTGGATCAATGACCGTTTTCACCTTGATCTCGATGCTAACCACGATAGTCTTCTATGACCGTATTTTCGTGCCCATTACACGTAAACTCACAGGGCTAGAACGGGGAATTTCTTTTCTTAGTCGGATGGGAATTGGCTTCGCGATATCGGTTCTTGCCACATTGGTAGCTGGATTCATTGAAATAAAGCGCAAAAATGCCGCTTTTGCCCATGGTTTGACTTACAAGCCTCACGAAACTATTCCCATTTCGGTGTTTTGGTTAGTACCTCAGTATAGCCTACACGGGGTCGCAGAAACGTTTATGTCAATCGGGCACCTCGAGTTTTTCTATGATCAGGCTCCGGAGAGCATGAGAAGCACCGCCACTGCGTTGTTTTGGATGTCGATTGCTGGTGGAAATTACGCTAGTACCCTTCTCGTGACGATGGTGCACAAGTTAAGCGCGGGCCATGATGGGTCGAACTGGCTCCCGGATGATAATCTGAACACGGGAAAGCTAGAGAATTTCTACTGGTTGATCACATTGCTTCAAGTTCTTAATCTGATTTACTACTTGTTTTGTGCAAAATTCTACACTTTTAAGCCTATTCAGGTTGCTCAACAAAATGATGGAATTGAGGTAGGAAACAATGTCTGATTTGTGCCTAAATTGTTGAGTTGGACCTCAAAGCATTAGAAAGTGTATGCAGTAATCATAGCCAAAGGGCATATGTGTAATTCCACATGAGTGTTTGAGTTATGTTATTGAATATTAAACAGAATATATTATCATTTCTATACGTGCAATACTAGAAATGATCAATAGTTTGTTTAATTGAAATGTTTATTTTATATTTGATTATGTTTATCTATAGTTAGTTACATAAATTTAGATATGGAGCTTTAATAAGTTGTAGTTACAAACAATCTACTTGCAATCTTGAATTTTAAGTAATATACATTAATAAACAGTATTTTACATATAAAAAAATAGTTTTTAAAAKTTTTTATCAAATATTTTATAATATAATATAAATGATATAGATAAGTACTTTTATGGAAAAAATACAAAGGTGTTTTAGATACAATCCCAAACATCCCTCAGGGTTTATTTAAAAATGGGGGAAAATTTGAGGCATTACGGGTTCATAGACAAAGTTTCGATTTTTAATTGAAAATCCAGGAATAAATGGGAAACTTCCCGCCCCTCTCATTCGCAGTTGTGATTGCTTTCGAGGGTTTTCAGGACGATTCGGTTTGGTTTGGGGGTTCAGGTCTCTGAAGAATCTTTTATCCACACTCTATCTTCTATCCCTCGTTGTAGGGAGCGTCAATCTCCGGTGGCAACTGCTCCGGCGACGGCTAGTTCTTCTCAAGTAAGTTCAAATTTCTCCTAGGTTTTGGTCAATTTGTTTTCTTAGAAATATTGTTTCTTTAGTATCTCGTTATTTTTGATGATGGCGTTTCTTGACTAATGTTTTGAATATACAACATATTTCTAAGTAGGTATCTAAATTGCCTTGGTTTTCTACTTTTAGTGTGTTTGATAGAAGCCCTAAACACCAAATAGGTGAGCCCATAAACACCAAAAAAAACTCTTAACTCCAACCTTTTGCCGTCCGTCTCTTCCACGGCAAATTTGCCGTTCATTTCCTTCCTCCCGCAAAACCTTGGTGTTTTTGGCGTACGATTGGATCCAAGAGAACGGCAAAATTAGGGTTTTGCCGTACGATTGGATCCAAGAGAACGGCAAAACTAGGGTTTTGCCGTTCGATTGGAGTTGCTCTAATAGAATGCAAATTGATCAAACCAATCGTCTTCAAAAGTGTTCTCTCTTTGTTTGTGAATTTAGAGATGTTTTGGTTATTATTGGGATTCAACGTAACCGCCATATTAGTATTAGGATTTAGAAAGGTAAACGCAATTGTAGAAATGAAGTTTTGCCTGGGCATCCATGGTCAATTATGATGGATTTGAACCTCAAGGATCCGTCATTATTTTAGGGCTAGGAAGCAGGGGTGTTATAATCCCTGTATCAGGTGTAGTTCTTCAGGGCTGAATATTGATGCTATCCCTGAATCATTTATGTGAGGACATGAGAATCGAGATATGCAAAAGGGAAAATTTTGGTTTTCCAACAAAAATATTGAAAATTCACAATTTGCAAAATTAGACGGAGAGAAGATTGTGAAGCATGAATTTAAACATCTATATTAATGATGTGATGCCCTCAAAGAACAGTTTATGATCAAGCTACCTTAAGATAAGTATAATGGTAAAAGAAAACTTGGTGCTTCCATGAAGAAGATCCAGTGAAATCAGCCTCAGGACCTTTTATGAAGATTACTTCGTGTAAAGAATCATCTACCGTACAACAGGTTTTATAAGACAGACATGGCGTTCTTGTTAGTCCTATGGCTTTAATTGAAGACCCTTCAGTGCCGTTTCGTTTGGGCCCCTGGGTAGCTTCTCCTATCAAAACTAGCTAGGATTAAGGATTCACGCCTTCCCTTTCGCTTACACCATTTCTTTGTGAATGAAGTTTTCCTTACTTAAAAACCACATGTGAGAATGACCCTTTTTGATGTATGCTTCTTGCTCTGAATGATATAGGTGGCTTTGTAGATGAGTGTGGCAGATGATTCACCGGTGAACTCATCCAGCAGTGATGATTTTGCTTCATTTCTGGATACAGAGTTGGATTCTACGTCTGACACCTCTCCTGAACCTGAAGAAGAAGCCAATGAGACATATCATTCGGATGGGAATAGGTGCCTATTGAAATTGTTTTTCTCAACTAACCATGCATTATGGAATAGATATGATTGCTCAAAAATTTTGTCGTTGGTATATAAAGAAAGCTGATGCATTTTCTTTGCATGTGAACGAAGTTATCAACTCGTATTTAGCAAAATTGTGATGTCTTGCTTGGAACTCGGGGTTGTCTCAATTCTTTTTCAGTTGTGATCTTTTTTCACTTTAATAGTTAACATGCTACTGATATTGGTTTTTCACATATGGGTTTCTGTAAAGTGGTTGATGGGATTAATCGTGATGTGTTAATGGGTGAGATCTGTATATAATTTCTCTGGTTTAAGCACAAATGGTAACATAAAATGGGGATGGATGTCATGGCTAATATGGACACAATTAGAAGAGAAGAAGATTAAGAACTTGCTACTACGTTATCTTTTGCGGGGGCATAAAACTTAAGGCGGCAAATGTGTATGTATACATATGTATATATAGAGAGAGAGGTAGGTTCAAATAAGAGAATATGAAAACGGTCAAATCACGTTCATAATTGTATGTGATTTTGCATTAACGGTCCACAAAAGGGTTTGTGGCAATGTGGCCTGCGATCTCAGGTCACGGCCAAAGTCACATGAATCACATGTGATTTATATGTGATTTTACTCATTTTAGTGTAAAATCACATGTGATTCGACCATTTTCTTATTTGGTCTCGTATGAATTGACTCTCTCTCTCTCTCTCTACACACACACACACACACACACATATATATATATATACGAGAATGCCCTTCTATCTCTTTAGTTGCTAAAATAATAAATATTTGCCAAACATTCAAACAGTTCATTATCTTATTATGACAACTTCAAGCAACAGAAGAACATCCAAACATTATCTTTTGCAATACAGTTTATCACATAGATTATGTGGTTCTAATTATCCAATGTCACATAATCACTTCAAAGCACACATCCAAACACCCATGACCCACTATATACTCTATTGAGTCCTTTAATTTGGTCCCGAGCATACATTGATTGTCAAAATGTAATCAGTTATTAAGGATCAGTATCTGTAAATGCTAAATAAGTGTCCAGTTATCTAAGGATGACTTGGTAATTCATTTGGTAGGAAGAGTCACAAGTGGTTGATCACATTATCTTGTATATGAAAATAGAAAATTTGAAAATTATACATTAGTATTTTAAAGCAAGAGATTCACCGAATTTACCATGCATTTTGATACTCAATTGGATTCTTTTTAACATTTTTTGATTCAATCTACCGTAACTGTGATATTATCTAAATAATTTTATTATTCTATAGGACAAAGAGGCAGAAGATCGAGGTGTTAGAAAGTGTCACAGACGCCAACGATTCAACACCTCAGCACGAAACAACAAAAACATTAGGTGAAACTTTTTGTTTCTTGCTTATATATCGGTCCCAATTCTCTGTTCAAGTGCTGAGCCAAAAAAAAAAAAAGAGAGACAAAGAACCACATTAAAAAGGAAAATAAATACCCCACAACTTGGGCTATATCTAGCAATTATAAGCACATTATGTTTGCAAGAGTATATTGCTCTCGCTAAACTGTGTAACATACATACACATATTCTTGGTATATTATTTTGTGGTCATATTCGTTTCTTTATTGTCATGTCCAGAAGCATCAATGAAGGATATATGCACACATCCTGGTGTTATTGGAGGAATGTGCATAAAGTGTGGAGAAAAGATGGATAATCAGTCTGGGGTTGCATTTGGGTATATACACAAGGTTATTCTTCTTTCATAAAAGCTTTAAATATTCTCTTACATATTTCTCGAACCTGTATAAATGTATTACGATTTTGCAGGATCTGAGGCTTGCTAATGATGAAATTGTTAGATTGCGTGATAGAGATCTAAAGAATTTGTTCAACCAGAAAAAGCTTTGCTTGGTTCTTGATTTAGATCACACCTTACTTAATTCAACTCGATTTATGGATGTAACTCAAGAAGAAGGATATCTAATGAACCAAAGTGATCCTATGCAAGGTATTCTCTTGCTGTAACTTTTTGGTTCTGTGCGTGTTAAAGATTTATACCCATGATAACTTTTTGGATTATGATTTCTTAAGTTAGTAAAAGTAAATTATATTGGTAATTAGGATATACATCATAGTGATCTTTTACGTATTAGATATTATTGTTTGTATCTCTGTCATGTAAGAAACTGATGTTTAACCTTGAAATGTTTCGACAGATGTATTAAGAGGCACTTTATTCAAATTGGACTCCATGCGCATGTTGACGAAGTTAAGGCCATTTGTTCACACTTTCCTGAAAGAAGCAAGTAAACTCTTTGAAATGTACATTTACACCATGGGAGAACGTGCTTATGCGCTAGAAATGGCAACTCTGCTTGACCCTGGAAAGATTTACTTTGATTCTAGAGTGATTGCACAAAGCGATTGCACTCAAAGGCATCAGAAAGGCCTTGATGTGGTACTTGGGCAAGAAAGTGCTGTTCTAATCCTTGATGATACAGAAGCAGTAAGCAACTGGCTATCACCTTTTCGTTTTGCAAGTGATGCATATGTGCATGAATGTTCACATGTTGGGTCCTAGTCATTTTGACATTTAACTCTTTCAATTTGTGAGTCCTGATTTATTTAGTGGGAGAAGTGAAGACATAGTCTTGGGTCCATTTACCTGATGCTAGGGAAAATGAACATGGGTTCCACAAAATGGAGAATGGGGGAAACTGGTATAGATGAATGATTTCTGGTATAACTTTATTTGTTTATGTGTCCACACGAGATCACACATATTACTAAATAAGGTGACTAAGGGCCGTTTACCATCACAAATTGGGTAAACGCTAACCAAGTAAGAGTGCTCTCTAGGTAAGAGGTTCAGTTTGGGTAAGCACCGACTGAAAATGATTGTTTACCAAGTGTCTAGGTAACCACTGACTGAGTCAGAAAGCAACCCCTTTACAGGGTCAACATCTCGGTCAGAGTATTTGTGGGCTAGAGTGTGTTGGTAAATAACGGTAAGTAACATAATGGTAGTTAGATTGGAACTGTAGAGAGCAATATTTCTGATTTGTGGAAGGTGCCACTCAATTTGTGACATTTATTTCGTACCCTCTTCTACAAAAACATACTGATTTTATCACAGGCCTTGTAAATTATGGTAACCTTTTTTGTAGTCATCGTTTCCTTGTGGCCATGCTAAAAGGTCATTTCTTGCATTGATAGGTGTGGGTGAAGCACAAGGGGAATCTGATTTTGATGGAAAGATATCATTTTTTTGCTTCAAGTTGTAAACAATTTGGCTACAGATGTAAATCACTTTCTGAACTGAAAAACGATGAAAGCGAAGATGATGGAGCTCTTGCAACAGTTCTGCAAGTGCTCAAGCGAATCCACAGTATGTTCTTTGATCCGGTATGTACTAGTAATCCACTTTTCTATACAAACTATAATGTATGTTGAAATCACGGATTGATTGATATTTTAACTTGCCTAATAGGAACTCGGGGAGAATTTTTCAGGCCGAGATGTAAGGCAGGTGAGATATCTATGCTGTAATATCTTCTTAGGGTCATGTTCAAATGTAAAGCGTAAGTATTTTGATAACCATGGAACCAACTATTCATGTTTTATCTATGATGAATAATGTGATAGATATTCATGATTATTCAGAGTGATTCATAATGAATAATACATGAAATGGTTGATTCTTGGGTTCTCAAAATATTTATGGTTTGTGTTATCCTTAAGCCAAGGCTGAAACTTACTTCCTCATTCTCCATTTTTGTTGTATCAAGTAAAAGGGAGTCACTACCATATCTTCTAAATGGCAACAAAAAAATGAAAATTGTTGCAGGTACTGGGGACCGTTCGTAGCGAAATCTTGAAGGGTTGTAAAATTGTCTTCAGTCGTGTCTTCCCAACAAAATTCCAGGCGGAAAATCACCATTTATGGAAGATGGCTGAGCGACTAGGAGCTACATGCGCAACAGAAGTCGACCCTTCGGTGACTCATGTGATTTCAACAGATATTGGAACTGAAAAGTCTCGGTGGGCAGTTGATCAAAAGAAATTCTTGGTTGAACCACGATGGTTAGAAGCTGCAAATTATCTGTGGCAGAGGCAACCTGAGGAGCTATTTCCTGTGAACGAGATTAAAAACAACAGGTGATGTTTTCGTTTTCGCTTTGCTTACTGATCAGATGTTGTAGACCCTGATGAAACCAGATCATTGCCTGAAGATTAACAAAATTTATGATTTTTGGCACACAGTTGATTAGTTTTAGAGAAAAGGGAGAAGAACATACATTTTGCATCAGATTTGTGTTGTAAAATGGAAGTTTTTGTTGTATAGTACTAACATTAAATCAAAGATGTTTTGAAGGTCTCTTCTTGAATCTTGATTTTGAACCATGGGTTCATGATAGTTTGCATTTGCAGTATATAAATATTATATATTTCAAAAATATATATTATAACTAGAATGTGCGAATTACAAATGTCTCATGTCTTATGAAACATTAGAGCAGAATTCAAAATCTCTAGAAGAAAATTACGTTCAACTTCAACATCAACAGATTTTTTATTTTTAATATTACAACATTGATTATAACATAATCAAATATTCAATATATTTAATAAAGTATTTGTTTTTTCCTTCTAAATGTTTAACTTTAAGGTTGTTTATTGATGAGAATATAATTAAAAAATATGTGTTTCTTTCTTATTAAGGAAAGATCTTAGAGAATTTGTTGAAGAAAAAACTTGTTTAAAATTCTTAAAATATTTATTTCCTCCATTTTGAAGTACTAGAATGGTATTCCTGTAGTGCAATTAGATAGATCTTGATTTTAATATTTCATTTTATTTTTTATTTTAGTCGATCTTATAACATGGTTTTATGTGATTTTGAAAAAATGATGATGTTTTTATTTTTAATTAGAATATAAATTTGAAGATATCATAAAAATTTGACAAAAATATATTGATATTAGTATCAAATTAACTATTTAAAATTCATATTTTTTGTGTAATTTTTTAATTCAATTTTTTTTATAAATAATTTAATTTAGGTTTAATAACGAAGTAATTTGTATTTGGTTTAATAATATAATTTTCTTATAAAGATAATAATTAATTATTTTGTTAAAACTCGATAATTATTCTAATTATATTTTAGATTTTAAAATGAGATGATTATCCTCTATTTGATTATGTTTATCTGCAGTTAGTTACACGAATTCAAATATGAAGCTTTAATAAGTTATACTTATGCATAATTTACTTGTAACCTTGAATTTGAAATAATATGCATCAATATATAATCCTTAATGCATAAAAAATATTTTTTAAGAGTTTTTTATTAAATGTTTTATAATATCGTATATATGTATTAGAGATGTTCTTACAAATGTTGAATTGAGCATTTACAATTTTGTATTCTTATTTTAGTTTTTGTCCCAAAACAAGTATTTATTTTTCAAAAAATATTTATTTATTTTTATTTATAAACACATATTTTGAAACAAAAAATGCTAAAAATAAGGTGAAAAAGACAGTATTAAATGTACTCGTTTACAAATAAAGCTTAAAATTTATTGCACTTTACTTGTAATATACTAAAGCAACAAAAATTGGGCCACATACTAAGTTATGAAAAAGTTGAGTGTTAAAAGTATTCGTCTACGAATAAAGCTTAAAGTTGATTGCATTTTATGTATAATATTCTAAAGCAACAAAAATGGTTCGTTTGTAGGGAATAAAAACTACAACATGAATAGACGAATCAATATACTTTAGAATTAAATTATGTTTTTTCCCCGTCTTCCATAAAAAATGAATAGACCAATCGATGTATTTATTGGATCTGTCGAGATTGACTGAACGAAAACCTGCAACGTCTACCGTGGCAGGGGCGGACCTATTAAGCTTCAAGCAGGGTCTCGTACATCTGCTCAACTTATTTTTGTAGGTAGTACTTTTTTGGGATACGAAAGATGCACTCGTTATATTAAAACATACAAGAAACATCAACAATAAAACAGAAAAAGGTCTCTCTAAATCAATTGAAAAGCCGAAAAGTCTCTCAAAATCAGCAAAAAAAATGAGAGAGAAAAATCTCTTGAAATTTTCAAGGTGGAATTTGATGAAAACACATCAGACGACTTTGTGGGATTTGATTTACCTTAAAGGTGCACCTGTTCAATAAAAATCTTGGGTCCACCACTGTACCTTAAACTACGATCTTGGGAAATCAAAACGAATCTAGTTTGATTTTTATTTTTTGTTGCATAAGGTTATTTGACGAATTTTTGAAGCATGGTCTCCAATGTCAAAAAAGTAATGAGATTTTGTTTCGAGGGACTTTTTTGTAATTAATCGTAATTTGAGGGGTAAGAATGGTTTAATTGAGTAAAATACAAGGTCCTGCCGTTGGAACTTGGAACATAAGATCTCGTTGTTGACACGCAAACTTGCATATTCCGTGAGGGCGCGAAAGAAAACCATCATATCACCCTTCCTTTCCTTCCTTCGAAATCTCAAACACACAAAATTCGCCGGTTTTTTAGGAGATGCCGAAACCCTAGAAGATTCAGACACAAATTCAATGGCTCTCCTTTCATACTTCACCTCTAACAGGGACCGAGAAAAGTATGCGTTTCCTTTGTTTCACTTTCTCTTTCTTTCTTCTTTCATTTCCTTTTTCCAGATTTTGTTTCTTTGATTTTTAGGTTTTAGATGACCGGGGAGTGTATGTTTATTGTTTATGTCAATTTGTGAAGTGTTAGGAGCCGGAAGATGAATAATGACGACGATGACTACAAAGATGCTGCAACAGGAACCCCTCTTTCTACGATCGCACAGGCGTTTGAGGAAATTTCAGATTTGATTAAAAAGGGTAACGATAAAGGGATTTCGGTTGATTTGTATTTGAAGCCGTTTTGTGAGGCCTGTTCTTTAGTATCTGTCCTTTTTGGTTGCCTTGGCATTGCTTTCAAATTCGCTGAGATGGAATACACCGCCAAGGTTTGTTTTTTCTTAGTTTCTTTATGATGAAGCTTAACCTAGATCCCTAATTTCATGATATATTTGGATTGATGATTGGTTTAAATTTTTGGATCATGTTATGGGGTGTTATCAAAATTGGTTTAAATTTTTGGATCTAACTATAGAGTGTTTCTCCAACATTACACGGTCGACAAGGCTATGATGTTTAGCCTTATAATAACTTCTGTAAAATCACTCAGTTAATTAAGTTTATGACGATTAATCTGTGATTATTTTAAGAATACATAGTTGCTGATAAACAGGGAGTTACTAAAAGTGGTGCGAAAGTTGTTGATTGTAACTATGTGGACTACCTGCATATATGTGTGGGAATGATAAAATATGTCTATTGTCTAAATAGATACAGGTCTGTCAAGGCATGATTGATGATATTGTTAGAACTTTTCCTTTCTTATGTATATATTAAGTGTAGACCAATATCCAAACAATCAACATGTTGGAAACAAAAAAAAAATGGCAAAATATTTTGTATGTATAAAGTGAAAAACAGCCAAATTAAACTTTAAGTCAAGATTTAGATCTCTCTCCGTCTTCTATTTGCGACAGTGATGAATCAGTGATGATATGTCTCCAAGATACAACAAACACGTACTTCAGTAAATCGCAGCACCAATTTGTGAAGTCTAATGAACCCAATCTATGAGTGTATCTCTTTTTCTAAGAAGATTCGAACCGCTGGAAAACCAATGGAAAACAGAGCAGAATCTGTGGTGTACGGAAAGAAAAGGAACCAGTACCAAGGGAAGAAAATACTTCAAATATATGACCATCTTATGGATGAAATTTTGACAGTTTTTTATTTGGTTTAGAAAACTGTGAATATTAGTTTGAAAGAACTCTAAAATAAGAATTTCCCTTTAATACAGAATTTTCACCAGATGTCTATGGGTCTCTTTATTATGGATGTATCTTTAGCTCACATTTGGATTTTTGGATATACATTTATTACCAAAAAGAGATGAAGTTGTTCTCGGTAAGGAGTAGAGACCTACAGGAATTTTCTGAGAACTCACTGCTCCTAGAATTTTGTGTCCTTCCTATTTGGTGTTTTCAGTGTTCTGACGCACCTTCCTAAGGGAATACTATGTCATTACTCTATCAGTTCATTCGTACTGTGTTTAAGGGTGGTAGGTGCAACTAGGAAGTTTCAGCTCCTAATAGCCCGTATTAATGTAGCATAGATACCGTGAGTATTTGTTCTGCTAGTAAAGGTTTCTAAGAAAGATTATTTGTCAATTTAAGCTAGTTCTGCTAATAGGAAGTTCAAGACATTATGTAGTCACACAGTGGAGAGGAAACTTTGAATTTTAATCAAATCAAACCTTCTAGAACACCAATATATGGGTCTGTACTATAATTTCCTTACATTTGCAGAAGATCATCAAGTATTTCAATAAGCTGCTCTACATCAGTAAGAAAGTTTGAACATGAATCTAGGTGTCACACCTGAGGTTCTATCCAAAAAGGTTTCATATAATGATCCAAATATAATATCTGGTCTCTACTTAAAAAAGAAAATCTCGTTCCCAACACTATGTATAGGAATGAGAGCCTCTGTCCCCCCCTTGGTACCAAATAGATCCGACCATCTTTCATTTGCTTGTTTGGAAAAACTAGGAAGATCTAACAAAGACACGCATACCAGATTCAAAGTTAAATCCACAACAAATCAGCTCCGGATATTGTTATTTTCAGAATTTCTAATTCTATTCCTTATTTCTCCCCTGGCTTGGACCTGATAAAGATCAAACATAGGATTTCTGCCACTTCTCCTGAAACTTCCGTTCGTGCTTAGGCAATTGATCACTCAAGGGCTACTTGTCTGCCTAGCTCTGCTTAATGATTTTTGAAGGACTTATATTTGTGCAGCACATTACACACAAATATGTTAAAAAGTCTAATCAAATTGCCAGTAGAGTCTTACAAATTTGATTTGAGTGGTTATTATCTGGTAGCCTTGTCGGGTCAGTTATAATCAAGTAAACAGATGCCCGAGTAGTATGAAATTATGTTCAACTTCTTTCACTTAGAAATTAAGATACCTTAGTAGAATCAGAAATCTAACCTCTGTAGTTAAGAGCCTTAGAAGTCTAATAAGTCAAATTTAAGAAAACTCACTTCCAAGAGCTGTGAAAGAGAGTGAAAAAATATGCTACAGCCTACGGGCTCCTTACGCATAATAATGCCTCTTTACACTTCAAAGTACGATGCCATGAGCATGTTTCTCTAATCATAATCACCTTCTCCACTTCATTTCAACATTGTGTTTTAGTTTGATGTTCCCATCTGAAATGCTATGATTAGCATGTGAACTTGAAAGAGCATCCTTGTTGCTTTCATGTTTTATGATTTCTTTTTATCCTCAAAATTGGCCTTTTATTTATGTGCTCTTATGTCTTTTGTTATAAAAAAAAAGATCTAAGCAGCTTCCACAAGCTAACTTGATGATTGATGCTTTTCAGGTGCGCGATCTTCTTGATGCATCAAAGCACTTTGGCACTTTAAGTAGTGTAGTTGATTTTGACTTACAAAATAATACAGTAAAATCACCTGGGAGCCATACTCGTAACCTTCGCAGAGTTAGACAGGGTCTAGATCTCATTAGAGAGTTGTTTCAGAATTTTTTGTCAGCTGAGTATGTTTTTACCCCACGTTGCAGCACCCTTTTTCCTCTACATATTTCCATTTTATGATTCAAGTACTCCATATGTTACCTTGAATGACACCTTGTTGCATTTGGAATAATGTTTTGATATTCTTGTAATCTTTCAGGAACCATTCATTAAAAAAAGCGGCTACAACAGCATATCAACAAGTTTGTGCGCCATACCACACATGGGCGGTTAGAACTGCAGTTTCCGCTGGAATGTGTACTCTTCCAACAAGGGAACAACTTTTGGTGAATCTAAATGAAACTGGTGAGTCCACTAATCTATAGTAGCAACTACTTGTAAGATCTCACATCGGTTGGGGAGGGGAACTAAGGTTGCCTTGTAAGGGACTAGATTCCTTCTCCATCAGATGTGTTTTAAAACCGTGAGTCCAGGTTTGTGGACAAAGCGGACAATATCTGGTACGGCTGGCCTGGGATGTTACACTACTCTCCCTATCCCAAAGTAACGCAAACGAACACTCTTCCTTTGACAGTGACTCTTACATGGTTCAAAATGCCCCCTCTTATCTGTCCTAGCGGTATATGGGTGTAATCCGTGTGTGAGGTATTCTCCTCTACCAATGATGTATGTGGGACCTGTTCAGTGGGGCATTCTAGTCTCCAGAGGATGGCAAATAGTCGAATACCCTTTTTTGACATGGTTGAGAATAGGGAAGGTAGTGTGTGTGTGTGTGTGTGTACAAGAAGTTGATTTGTATATAATTTTGATGTTGTGACAGATAAATCAGCAGAGAAAGAAATGAGGAGGTACATAAAAGCTTCACTTGCAGTTATAGAAAACATTGATACTCTTTACATTTCCAGGGGCATAAAATTAGATTGGTGATCTTGTATGAGGGAGTGGGTTTAGATTATATTATACATACAAATCTTGAATGGCTTCCATGTAAACATTTAACCATTGATGGCAATGCCTCCTTTCTCTTCTAACATAGAAATATTGTTTTCTTTATAGTTGTTATGATACTTTCTATAATTAGAATATCCATTTTTCTATTCTTTAGTTTTTCTTTAAATTATAACCCACATGCAGCTTTCTTTTGCAAGATTTGGGTCATACCCCACATATGATAAAAACAAATTGCTATGTTTAGATGATTCTTTAAAATTTGGTGGTATGAGAGAAATATTTTTATTTATTTATTTCCATTAATACAATTGAATTGTTATTATTTTATAGTAATTTTTAAAAAAAGCGTATTAGTAATAATGAAATTATAGATTATTTTACTAATACAATAAATGTTAAAATCTTTAAAATATAGAATTTGTTAAAAAAATGTTCTGATTTCTAGTTTTATACTCTAAAGAAGTTACAAAAATACATTGAAGATGTCTTTAAAAAATATTTTATTTGATTGAATTTGGTAAAACAATTATAAATTATATTGTTTTTTTTTAATTTGAATTAACAAAACCAATATATTACTTGCGTATTGTTAGAAAATAAGATTGTAGAAGGAGAGTAAGTACAACAAATTAAATGATGAAGATGTGAGAATCACTGTCTTTAGGATATTAATAGCTCCTACTAGTAAAGTTGTTTAGGTTATAGGCTATGATACACTCAGGATTCACGAATCGGATAAGATATATTCAACAACATAATATATCTTCCATGAACATGCTATAGAATTATATTGAAGAGAAGAAGAGGATTAAGAGAGAGATTAAATTGATGAAGTGATTACACATACAAATAGGTTTGTGTTTACACATGGTTCTGGATAAGAAATAACCAACATTTAATCTTATCCAGCTTTATTAAATCATGAGCAAACTGTCAAAAACGGTTAGAAAAAACGTATTCCAAAGGTTACCGTGAGTTAAAACTCACCTGGAAACTAGTATGGAGCATTGTTCAATTCCAGAGACTACCGCAACTTTCTAGGCTAGTGTTGTTCTTTGACCATTTAATATATGTGTAAAATTCATATAACTATGTCAAACAATTCAAAGCCAATTTGATCTCTTAAACAACATACACAAGTTGCTTAAAGATTATAAATTAGAGAATAATTTATCACTCCACAGTATGGGACAAATGATATGCCTCAAACTCATATACATAAATAAATAAATAAATAAATAAATATATATATATATATATATATATATCTCATCAATACAAATAAGATTATATTGATTCTGTTATATCAGATAAAATCTCAATATAAAAATTATATAACTTATTTACCTCTTAAAATTAATTGGTATCGTGAAATAAAACTTAAAAGGGTGTAATAATAATTTTAATGATATTAAAAAAAATGTTTTTGTCTTAGAAGGGGTGGATGCAATGTTAAAAAGGAGGGGGGAAGGGACCCCAATCAAAAATTCAAAAAAAATTATAGGTTAAAATTTAGGTTTTCCATGATTTACCTTTCATTTCCCCCATTACATTTTTACACGGGCCCGAACCCCAATCGAAACAGTTACTCTAACCAAAAAAATCTGTTGAAATCAATCAAAAAAACCAAAAAAGTTATTCGAAATCGACAAAACACTAAAAAAATATCTCGAAATCAATCAAAAAAACTTTATAATTCCCTCAAAAACGTTGTAATTAGGTTAAAAACACATCGGACAATTTTACGAGTCTTTAGTTTACCTTAAAAATGACTTCACTAAAGAGAAATCATGGATTCATCGTTGAACTTAGAGGTTAGAAGAACAACATGTGATCACGTCGAGAGAGCCTACATAGTACATGTCATAACAGCCTCATTTGACCAGGGAAGCGTATTTTGACCCGATACGGCAGTGGGCCCGGGCAGCCGTCTCCTTTTGTCGTTTTATGATCATCTCCCATCCACCCTATCCGCTTTCAAATAAAATTTCCACTTAACAAATATTTAATTTAAATATATATTAATCAATATAATAATACTTAATTAGTTTTATATTCTTTTATACCTTCTCCTAATAAATGCTTGATATTTCAAGAATAAACCATATTAATAATTATTTTTAACAGAATTTTTAAAATAAATATTTTTATATTTTTATTTTAATAGATTCTTCAAAACCTTCTCCATTTCAACAAGAAAATATAAAAGATGTTAAAAATAAAAATTTTAAATAATTTTTGAAATTTTATTTTAATTCCATGATTCATTGGTGTTATAAAAAAATTACCTACAACTTTTATTCAGATGTAATTTTCTATAAATTCAACGATGGAAAAAATTGGGGTGTTGAAATATGTTCAATGCTAAAACAAATATATATGTTAAAAATGTTGTGACTGCTAAATTTATAGTAACACAATGGACTTTGTGTTGTGACATGATTTAAAACAATGGTTGCTATAACTTTTTTTTTTGTTAACGATGGGTGTCTGAACCAACTTACGTGTACCTCGACTAAAGCAAATAATTTCAAATTTTGGTCTAGTAAATAGAAAACTAGACTTTGCAAATTGATTTCATTGAATTCATTTGATCTCATTTTTGACTGTTTGGAACACTGAAAGAGTTCTCTGCAAAGTTCAAAATGTGTTCTAAAATAATTTTTAGAAATTCGTGTTGTAATGTTCATAACAAATTCCTATAGAATTTTGTAGCAATTTATTCATTTTCTATGTCGATGAACTGTCGTTTTTTACATGCATAAAGATTACCAAAAATCTATGATTTGGAACTTCTAAATGTAACTTTAATCATGTAAAAGTAAAGGTTACCAATCAAATGTGTTGCTAAACAATGAGACCGTGTTTCTCAAGTGATCGTGAATAGCATGCAACACTTATTTCTATACTCATTATAGTCTACATTCAATTTTGATTCATAATACGTTTTTTTTTCTCTAAAACTTGGTCCCCCCAAGAGTTCTTACCCTACAGTTGTGAATGGACCGCCAAACTCTTATCATTTAATCTCTCTTAACTTGTAATTCGTTCAATTAGTAGTGTTCGAAAAAGTTAAAGCTCAAGTGATATCATAGGCACATCATTGTAGCACCACAGTGGTACCATAGGCACATCATTTGACACTGTTGACATACCACCGTCCATATTACACGACAATGTGATTAGTCCATGACATCTTTGCTTTTATGCTATGATAAGAGCATATCATGATACGACAAGGGATTTAGTTTATAAGACGTATGTGATGACCTTGACATTTTTATTAGTTTGTTTATGTGTCCAATGTACATATCTAAAATTAAGATATGATTAGTAGAAGCAATCAGTTTTTTCATACATGATAAGTTGTATTAGCTCACCGTGTACGTGTACACATATTTCCTATGGGCTAATGGGCCTAAAAAGCCATAAAATTTTAATGTTAACAAGAAATAAACCAAAATCCCCGATTTTTGACAAACAAGTCATCATAAAAGAAGGTAAGTATATCCACGGGTCAACCATTTGGTCAATTGAGCTCAATAAAAACCAAAGAGTATTATTGTCCATATTTTAAGGACGAAAAATAAGCGGATTGAATATTGTTAATGATGTAGCTAGCAGGTAGAGCTATATTCTATAAATATTCAACCTAGAAGTACTCTGTAGAAAATATTAACATGCAAAAAGTATGTATGAAGACAATGAATATAGCACCAATGATGCCACGTGGCAGTCCGTAAAATGACCATATGAATGTCAAATTGATACATGGTCGAATACAAACAAGTGACCAAATGATGATATGAGAACCCATGAAAATTTTACTCAAAATGATAGAGGTGTGTGTTGATGGTGGACAGACAGTGTTCAACCGGTGATGGTAAACAACAAACAAGTGACAACGACAATGTCGATGAGCATTTATCAGATAGGTTGTAGACGACAACAGGTTGGTTAAAAGCAAGTATATGAGCTTTCTTATATATAATATTTGAGAATGCAAGGGGAGCTCAGCCTCGCAATCATCCAACGTAGACTTCTACTAAGTATTTTCTTATAAAAACGTCAATTATAAGACGAATGATCGTGTGAGAAGAAGATTTAAGATGAAAAGCGTAAGAAAGGAATCATACATTTGATCACCTCTAATCTCAAACTCATCCATGAATCGCTTTGATACGGGGATTGATCTAGTGCATTTCATCATAATATGTATCTAAGTTTGAAGATCTCTTCTCACACTTCTCACTTTAACTCTCATTCTCACCGGAACTCAACCCCAATTATAACAACTAATTAACTAGTTTTATAAAAATATATATAAACAAGTCGAACAAGTTCATTTGAAGTTATTTTTTGCGTCGCTGATATCCGCCTACAAATCTTAACAGGCCCCATGAATTTTTCCAAGAATGGTTGTCCAATCTTGCTTTTCTAGCGGGCCGATCCTAACAAACTATTCCATCTATTAACAACTCCAATACACATTGTTTTAGTGAGGAGACTCAAAACCACAACCACTAAAATCATCAACTTGATTAGATAGGAGTCAGGCCGAAACACGTCTAATTTCTATAACTACGAACTTACTTTCTTGTTACATATTATTGGAAGTCATGAGAAAACTGTGAACTTTTTTTAAAGAGTTTGGTTGTAAAACAACTGATATTCCCATTATTCTCATATAACACACATAACGCTTTATTAATTACTTGTCTTTATTAAATACTATTTAGATAACAATTCATGTACAGTTAATTGATATAATTTTTATGGGGAAAATGTTTATGCGAAGAAAAATTAACATAATCAACCAACATATGTATAATTAAATTATCGATATATCGTATTAATCGGAAACTGAACCTTGATATATCCTAAAACAGTACATTTTTATACCGCAAGCTATCCATAATTGTTTTACATTAAGGTATTATGTTGGTTTTTTTGAATTTTATGATTTTTAAATTATAATAGTTGAAAAAGTCAACGTAAGAGCATCTCTAACAACTTTTCTAAAATAGAGAAAAAAATTGAGTTTTTGTTCTCTAAAATGCTTCAATAGCTCAATAGCTCTATCTTCTTCTTTAAAATAGAGAATCTTCAAAAAAAAAAAAAAAACTTTAAATATAGAGAATTCTTTAAAATTGATGTTGGGAGAGAAAAATAATTATTTTATTCAGTTTCACCGATGAAATTTAGTTATTATATTTTCATAAAAAAGTTTTTTTAAATTTACTGGGATGATAAATTAGAGAATATTATAATAATATAGTTTATGTTAAAATCTCTAAATAGAAAATTTGTTGGAAATTAATGTAATTTTTTTTTAAATTTTATGTTTCCGTTCTCTATTTTAGGAAAATTATAGAAAAGTTGTTGGAAATGTTCTAATACTTTATGTAAAAAATTATAGTTTCAGATTTTTGTAGGAATTGTAATATGAAAAAGAGATGGATCTATTTAACATCTCCAATAAATTCTTCAAAATAGAGATTTTGAGGATTTTTGTTCAAAAAAATTTCTCAAAATCTTTTTAAAATGAAGAAATTAGAAGAGAGAAGATGAATCTCTTTAAATTTGAAAAACTCTCCAAAAATGATTTTTTTCTATAAAATAAATTATTTTTTTATTTTTATTTATTAATGAGAATCTTTAAAATTAAATGTACAAAAGAAAGAATTAATATTTTATAAAAAATATTAAATATTGAATAATGTAATCTATATAAATATTTTATTAATATAATTTATATTGTAATAAAAAACTGTTAAAAATAAACATAAATTATATATAAAGATTTTAATTTTAAATTTAATTTCCTATTTTGAAAAATTCATTTAACTCGATAAAAGCAGAACAAAGATTTCTTCTATAGAGAAAAATACGGGTTGACCCGCCCGTTGTCATCCTGTTCCTTCGTGCCTCCCCCAGTCGTCTACTCAGAACAAAACAAGGAAACCCTAATTTTCTCTCTCTCCCACCATTTATTTGCTTATAAATACCCCTTCTCAATTCTTCTCATCTCTTCCAGGCGTTACCGCTTTGAAATGCTATAAAAAAAAAAAAAATTGGGTTGGGAAAAGCCCCAATTTCAAAACAAGTTCTTTAATTTATACCCAAATTTCCAAGTTTGTATGTGTATATATTGGAATTAGGGTTTGTTTTGAAGATTTAAGATGGAGAGATCTGCGGCGGTGGGAAAGACGTTCTCGGCGTTTGTGAAATGGGAAGAAGTTTTTTCGACAAATCATAAGGGAAGAAGAGAGGTAAGATACTATTTGAAACGGCGGGATGGCACTTCCGTTTTGGCTGTCGTTGGCAAAGAGAAGAATTCTGGGCATAATATGAAACCGTCGTCGTCTTCTTCGTATCCATATCGATATGCAATTCGTGACAAATCGCTCTTTTTGTCGACGAATTTACCCTTTGAATTTTATTCCAAGCTCAGATCTCGAAGAGAGGTTATTGATTGGTTAAGCTCCTTTGTTACAGGTACGTAAAAATGCCTCAAAAAAAATCTTCAGATTTTCATTTTGCTAAATCTGCTTTCTTGATTTTGGTTTGGTTTGTGCGAAATTTGAAATTTCTTCCTTTATTTTTTAGATCTGTGTTGCGTTTGATGTGGTAGTTTACGTTATTCGATTGATTTTGATTGACTTACGACTTTATAATTGTTCTTAGCAATAGAAGTGAATTTGGTCTAGGATTCTTTTCTCCTCAATTCCAGCAGCATAGTTATTTTCTGGATGCACCGCCATAGAAACCTATGCTGTTCATTGGTTTCTTCGAGTCCAGTTTCTTGTATAATCCATTTTTTAGCCCTTTGTCGTGACTTTTTTCTTCTTCTTCGTAGTGTTTTTTTGAAATCTGGGTTTTGAAATGGTGTAAGTTTGCAAGCTGGAGCAAAGAATTATTTAGAAACTACAGTCATATACTTGATAGATGATGCTCTTTTCAATATGTTTTTTTGTCTTTGATCAACTTTTGCAATTTATGGCATGTAATACGGATTCATTTCTGGCCTGGTTGTGGTCGAATCTGCCAATTAGGCTTCTTTTTTAAGTACCCTTAATTTTCAGGCGGGTTCCACTCTCCATGTAAACAAGTAGAAATTAGTTGTATAATCTTCTACTACACCATGGGTTCCACATGCTTTTTGTCCGAAGTTTCAAGAAAACATCATTTTCAAGGCCTAATTTTTTCAAATTGTCCTACTCTTTTTGGCCATTGGCTTTATATGAAAGTTGGATTGATACGATTTAATATCCCTGGGGCCTGGGGGCCTCATTTGATCCAATATGACATCATAATACAAAGAATTGTGCTTTGTGCGATGACATGGGGGCGAAACAGGAAAGAGATGAATGGGGTCTCTCTAGCTATCAATCGAACATTTTTTTAAATAACAGATAGCTTGATTTTGTAATTTTGTGAAGTTAATAAGCTATGTCTAAAGTTCCAATGGTTTTCCCCATGCAATTACCAAGTATCAATTGGCAGCTTTCTTCAATATCCCCCTATGTCCATGTTAATTGGCCCTTCTTTCACTCCAATCTCTGAGATATTTGTTTTATGCATGTTACACCTCTAGCAAGTCACTGCCTCGATGTTGTGTTTTTTCCATGGAAAACTGACAATGATCTGGGCTGCAGGAATATTTAATCAAATTCCAAGAGCTGGTTGAGAGCCTCGGAATTCCTGAGCCCTGATTGCTAGGTTAAGATCTACTATGTTCTCTCTTGGTTAACTAAATTTGTTTGTGTTGACTCATATTATTGCCTTTCAATCTGATAATTTTATGGCCAACTAGACCCAATTGCTATTGTTACTGAGTAAGATTATATGTTTTACATCTTTCTTAAGCCTATACACCTTTTTGTGAAGGTATATCTGTGTCGTGTGTTCCACTTCTAATTCTAGTGCTTTCATTGCAAATATAGTTCTAGTATCATGTCTGATTGTTGACTTTCCATTTACATCACTTGCACTTCTTTCTTTCTTTGTTACAATGCATGTTTGTAAACTTTTTTCTGCCTATATTGATTGTTGGTTTTCTTAAATGGATTTAGATGGTTCTTTTTCTCGGCCACCTCAACCTGTGGATGGTTTCCTGGGAGCAGGAGATGCCTTGAGGGTGAACTTAGAAACCTTTACGGTATTACTTCCAGTTCTTGTTAATATCTTCTTTCGACGGAGTTTAGGTTGTGGCATTCTTATGAAGTGCTATTTTTTCAGGATGTTCACTTGCATAAGATGAGCCAGCATACTGCAGAGTTTCTATGGGTGGGTTCTGCTTGGACTTGCAGGAAAAAGAGGAAGCACTATGAAGCTTATAGCCGTAGTGGTGTTAGAATCTCGGTTAGCACTCTTTTTTTGCACTAATCACATGTTTTTCTTCTGTTTTTTTTTTATTTGTTGATTTAGCTACTTCTGGTTGAAGGAAACGCGAGATGTTTTCTTGGTCGTGTTTCATGATTTGGTTTTTGTTTGTTGTTGTCTCCAGGTTCACAATTTTGTATATGTATTGGCTGAAGAGGGCAAACGACTTGTTGCTTACTTGGATGATTTGTACGAGGATTCCAGAGGAAACAAAATGGCCGTGGTACGATGGTTTCACAAAGTTGATGAGGTTGGTCTTGATTTACCTCATAGTTATAATGACAAAGAGATTTTCTTTTCACTTTGTCTTCAAGATCTTAGCATCGAGTGCATAGATGGGCTGGCAACTGTTCTCAGTCCTCAGCACTATGAGAAGTTTCTCAAAGTGGATGCACACACAAAGTTGGACCCGTTTGTATGCCGACATCAGTTTGATAATGAAGTTGTCAAGCCATTCGACATAACTCAAGTTAAAGGTTACTGGAAGCAAAACATACATAGATTCATGTCTTTAACCACTTCCAACGGTTGTCCTAAGCTTCAGTCTACTGACGCCACTAAGTTGGAAAGTAGTCATCTTGATGCTGTTGGGATCAGACCCAGAAAGAAACTTCGGCGATTAGTAGACACAGAAATGCAAGCTGTGCCTACTACCATAAAAGAGGCTGGAGTGTCAGGCCCTCTTGACGGTGAAGTTAATTTCAAGGAGAGAACATTAGCAGAATATGCTTCGATGCAGAAACATCAATACACAATAGGTTCTGAAATTGAAGTGCTATCACAAGATAGTGGCATCAGAGGTATTTGGTTCAAGGCTGTGGTTATCAAGAAGCATAAAGATAAGCTTAAAGTGAGGTATCAGGATATCAAGGATGCAGACAATGAATCTATCAATCTTGAGGTGAGGATTTATATATGTTATTGTTCGTTTTCATTTAAAAGTCTTATCTTTTTCTGGTATGGCGTCTAATTTGACTAATTGTCGTCAATCCTGTAGGAATGGATTTTGTCATCCAGAGTTGCGGCTCCTGACCATTTGGGAATCCGGCATTGTGGAAGAATGACTATTAGGCCATCCCGATTGTGCAAGAATAGTGATGTTTGTTTCGTTGATGTTGGTTGCATTGTGGATGCATGGTTGCACGATGGATGGTGGGAAGGGATTGTGGTTCATAAAGAATCTGATGATAGAATCCATGTGTATTTTCCAGGTTTGTGAATGATGGCCATACTTTGTGTTTATATCTGTTTAGCTATGAATATGTTTCCTAATTTTCCTATCATTTGTACTTGTTTCAGGGGAAAAGCAAAGATCAATTTTGGGGTGCAAGGATTTGAGATATTCCGAAGAATGGTTAGGAGATCGGTGGAAACAAATGAAGAGCAGACCCGATCTTCTTGGCCCAATTTCTTCTGCCATTGAAACTAATTCACAAACTACTAAATCCCATGATAATGGATCCAGTCTAACCGGAACTATTCACGATAAGGAGCTAAGCTCGGGACCGAAAGACAATTCCCTAGAAAATAGTGTTGTAGGTAGAGATTTTGAAGTGGTTGACCATGCGGATTTTCTAACTCATTTGAACTGGAAATGGTCAGCCAGAAAGCGGCATGGGAAGAACCCATCTCACAGGCTGCAACGTCATGCTTCAAAGACTAACGATGTAGTAGCAGTGGAAACAAGAAAGCGTAATCGGCTTCTGATGGTTAAAATGGATCATGTGAAGTGCAAATTCACATGTGAATCTTCTCTTTTTCGCTCTTCAGTTGCTTCTTCCCCGTTAACAAGCTTAGCTATGTCCAGGTAAAAATCGCGTCTTCCAAATGCTAGTTTGCACATTTAGCAATTCCGCAGGTATAGTTTGTAGGATTAGGAGGATATTTCTTTTATCCGTGTTATATAATTTTGTTCCTCATAGCGTGTAATGAATAGGGAAAAATGCGAAGCTTAGACTAACGTAGTGAGGCATAGTTTTGTAGCCATTTCTGTATATCATGGTTTTTGTTGTTTCTACAAAGGCCTTCGATTCATATTGAGATCGCGTCTGTTATGAATCCCGTCTTGTGTATGTTAATGTTGTGATTCTTGAATCGGTTGTTGATTGTACTGAAAACCCATGTTCATGGTTGTTTTAACCAGCTGTGCTGAAGTCGCTTTTCTTTTGATCAAGATTATACATCTAAAACCTTTCCATAATTATTTCGTTTGTTTGAGTGCGATTTTGGATGAACCACATGAACCAAACGGGTAATTCACTCTTAGATCATGGTTTTTATTTTCTTGATCTATGTTTGGCAAAATAGTTGATAAGTTAGTTATTGACTGATAAGTTAAGAGACTTTTTGGTTGGAAGATGCGGGTTTGTGAAAAACTTGGCTTTTTGCATAAAATTCCTCTTAGAATCTTACCGAATAAGTCACTTTCTATATCGATAAGTCACTACTAAAAAGTCATGTATAGCTGATTAAATAAGTTGTGAGTCCCCTTAAGCTCGTTAAGCTACTAAGAAACATGCCTCGAGTCATGTTTGGTAGTTTATTGAAAAAGCTATTTAAAATAGTTTTCAAAATATTAACTTATGAATTATGAAATTTGTAGTTTAAAAAAATAAACATTTATGGTTTTGATTTTGACGTTTTTAGTTTGGTTTGGTTTAAATTCTATTTATTTTAGTTAGTTGTTCTTTAAAAAGAGGAATTACTTTTGGTTAGTCTGGTTTTATGACAATTTATTGTCATTAACTGCTTTTAAATGAAAAAGCCTACCTTGGAACGCTTATTATAAAGTTTATGTGTTACACTTTCGAAAATAAAAATAAACAAACACAATAATACAAAACTGTATTTCTTTCTTCCTCAACTATCAGATTAATTGGCTACCACAATAATTACATATGTTATAATTGGATTCTTTGTTCCCTCCTTTGTGGGGGCATTGATGTTTTTGAAGTTCATGCATTAATTAACAAAATATAACAAAATGAACATTATAACCCTGAAACAAATATATTAGTAGGTAGTTGTTTATCAAATACTTACCAGATAAGCACATACCTGTAAGAGCCACTATCATTCACCTTATCAAATAATATTCTCGAGTATCACAATGTGTTTTGGTAAACAACTTTTATCCAGTAAATATTTACCAGATAAGAGTTTCAGTCATTGCTATGCTTCTTATTGGGTAAAATTGAAAATATTTATTGTACTCAGATGAAAGGTATGTGACATCCTGCTGAACACTGATCTAATAAGCAGGTTAATTTACGGTTTAGTTGGCAGGATTTGGTCCTTTTATCTGCTAAATTATATAATTAAAAAGAAATCAAAGTAGATTATGGATATGGAATTTATCTGCTAAATATGTATTAGAAAAAAAGAAAAAGAATTACTTTTATTTAAAAAAAAATCAAAAATGGTTTTTGTTTCAATACAAAAGATTTTACTTTAAATTGATAAATAAAATATTAATATTTAGTTAACCAATTAAATGATATTGATAAAAATAATTACACACTAAAAGAGTACTCACTAGGGGTGAGCATAGGCGGGTACCCGCCCTTTTTGACAGGAACCGGAACTGGAACCGGCGGTTCTTGAGATATTGGAACCGGAACCGGTTAGAACGGTTCTTAAATTTTTGGAACCGGAACCGGAACCGCCGGGAACCGGTTCCGGTTCTGGGTACCCGCTTCCTAAAATATTAAAATTTTGTTATTTAGAAATAAAAAATAAAATATTGCCAAAACAATAAATAAATAAGCAAGAATACAAATTATACAGAATAATGGTTACAAATATTGATTAACGATTACAAACCATAATAGACTAATAGAAAATGTTCAAAGTTTAACGATTACATGTTATAATGGTAATTGTTCAAAGTTTAACGATTACATACTATGAATCTAGGTGAACACACTATTTGAAAAAATACGAATCATTTTATATGAAGAATTTAGATGAAGAATGAAGATGACGACGTGTTTTTAAGATGTAAATCTAATATAAATTTGGTATTAAAAAATAATAATTTTTTATTGAAAAATACCGGGTACCCGGCGGGTAACGGTTCCGAAAAATTGAGAACCGGAACCGAAACCATTATCAATCGGTTCCGTATTTTAGGAACCGGAACCACTCATATCGGTTCCGGTTCTGGAACCGGCGGTTCCAAGGCGGTTCCGGTTCCGTAGCCGGGTACCCGGTTCCGCTGCTCGCCCCTAGTACTCACATAATGCAGCAAGATACATCTCGTTTAGTGTTTCGTTCTTTTTTGTTTTAGTCGATGTTATAATACGATTTTATGTGGTTTTGAGAAAACAATAATGTTTTTATTTTTGAATAAAATATGAATATGAAGATATCATAAAAAATAAAAAATATATATTGATATTAGTACCAGACTAACTATTTAAAATTTCTTTTTTTTTTGTGTATTTTTTTAATTCATTTTTTTTTAATTTTTGGTTTAATAATATAATTTTTTTATAAAGATAATAATTAAGTATTTTGTTAGAACTCAATGATTATCCTGATTATATTTTATTTTTTTATATTTAAAATAAAATGTTTATCATCTATTTGATTATGTTTATCTGAAGTTAGTTACACGAATTCAAACATGAAACTTTAATAAGTTATACTTACGCCCAATTTAATCTTGAATTTTAAATAACACGCATCAATAAACAGTTATTCATATATAAAAATAGTTTTTTAGAGTTTTTATCAAATGTTTGTAATACAGTATAGATATGGAAGCAAGCAAACAAAAATTAATGGGTTTGGTTGGAAATTAGAAATTATATGTTTCGATGTTACATTCATTCAAGCGTTTGTGGTTTTGGTCAAAATTCAACCACCCCATATGAATCGCTATCACTAATCTAAATATATAATACTAGTAGGCTACGAAAGTTTAGGGACTGAAACTAGAAAACACCAATAGTTTAGGGGTTAAATCTACAATTTTCTGTTCCATTGGATATTGCCAATTGCTTTTGTTCTCTCTTGTACGCCTTGTGCAGTTGGTGCATACGTGGCGTCACAAGCGGATCCATCTTTTAAGCACGGAGAAAAAAATTATTTGCTCAAAAACTATTAGTTTAATTTTTTTTATTTTCACTCTCGTCTTAAATGGTTTTCTTCTGGTTTTATATGATCATATGCTTCCCTCGTTCAAGTCCCATCCAACATACCTTCATCTTATGAATCTTCTGGATCCGCCACGCCTGTCTAATTGTGTAAAACTTAGACGGGGAGTTAATCAGAAGAATACGTTGGATAGTTATATGTTATTTTGAATTTTTTTTAAGATTTTGAAAATAATTGTTTTAATAACTACGTTAAACTTTTATTTAAAATAGAAAGATATGGAAAATAATAGAGAATTCGTTAAATGTAAAAGAAAAAGAAAACATTTCTTATTTATTAACAAATTCAGTGAAATAGAAATTTATGAGATTTTTTTGTTTTTATAAATTCTGTAAAATAAATAAAAGATGGTAGAAAGATTAAAATATAAAGAATCTATACTATTATAAAGCATTTGATAAATACTCTTAAAAACCATTTTTTATGCATGAATTACTGTTTATTGATGTATATTACTTAAAATTCGAGGTTACAAGTAAATTATGCATAATTACAACTTATTAAAGCTTCATGTGTGAATTCACGTAACTGACTGCAGATAAACGTAATCAATTACAGAATAAACATCTCATTTTAAATATAAAAAATCTAGAATATAATTAGGATAATCATTGAGTATAACAGATTACTTAATCATTATCCTTATAAAAATTATATTATTAAACTAAAAATAAATTACTTCGTTATTAAAACTAAACTAAATTATAATAAAAATTTTGAATTAAAGAAACTACATAAAGAACGAGAAATTTTAAATAGTTAATTTGATACTAATATCGATATATTTTTTTCAAATTTTTATGAATATAAACATTATCGCTTTATCAAAACCACATAAAACCGTATTATATCGACAGAGACAATAGAATTTTTAAAATAACAAATCGATATAATTCAATTTGTGTATTTTTTTTCTTTTAACTTTCAATTTATCATATTTTTTGAAAAAAAATACAAAAATTGATGCTTTAAAACCATCAAGATTGAGGACATGAATGATGCCATGAGATGATGATTTTGTTGATTAGTTAATAGTTTTAAACTAATCACATTTTTGGTTCATCAATTAAACCTTATACAACTATTTGGCTTCTAACATTTTTATGTTATGGATAATTATAAATTTTTACTTGTTGAGTAATTGATATAAATTATTTTTTATTACGGTTAAGAATTGAAACCATTACGATCATTATCCCCATCACGATCACGCTACTACCTCCAATTCACGATTCTACGTTACCTCATCCAAAATATAGACAACCATCTTCTAAATTGACACCTGCATTCTTCACGTTTTCCCCTACCACCATTATAGTTACCAAACAGATCTAAACAAATAGCATCCACAAATATCATCTCATGAGCCCACCACCATTGTACAACCGTAGACACAGATTGAACAATTCATAACCTTAACCCATAACCGGTAAGGAATTAAGTCCACAATACGAGATATCAAGCGTTGCAGCGAAGAAAATTAAGTCTACTGCTGAGATTTATTACAATTATAAAGATAAGATTCTAGGCGAGTATCTAATCTAGAAAAAGACGCCCTCACTTCGGACAACTGGCTCACACTTTTCATTTTCCTTTGCTAGAGCTCTTCACATGGTATTTCAGTGAAAATGGTTTCAATTTTATAAAATCGAGAGTTAGACTAAAGGTCTAGTGAGTTCCCTCACCCACATGAAAATATAATAATAATAATTTGTCATATACATTAAAATTTTTGCTTATACTTCAAATAAGTACAACAACAACACCCATTGGAACGGTTAATAACATTTAATCTCGCTCACACTTGTGAATAAGCGATTAGGCTCACACTTGCCCTTTTAATAAGCTACATGGAACGAAGTCATACGCTTCATTGGCGTACACACTTCTCGTAATTCCAATATCAATATTACCCCCCCCCCCCCGGGGGGGGGGGGGGGGCTAATAACTAATGCTATGAAATTAAGCAATTCATGTTTGAATCAAGCACACTATGCGAATATAGTTCAAATACATATCCAACATAATGGAAAGTTTGTTCTTGGTCGAAAACAACGAAAGGAAACTCACCTGAAATCCCAGCCTACGCGCACACTTTTGGTCCTAGAGTTGCACCAATCTAACACCTAAATTGAGGTTACCAAATGATGCGTCAATAACCCTAAAGGTCCTCTAGGAGAGTTACTTGCAGACCCCTCAAAGAAGGACCCAAGCTACAACCCCTAAATAGACTTAAAACAAAAACTGAAAATTGGCAAACAGGGGAAATGTGGGTTCCATGCGACCCAACCCGCACTGGGTTCGCATTCCCCCCCACTGTATCAACTGCACACTTCACTTATGAAGGGGAACCCCAAATGCAATACTTATCACATTTCCTTCATTTTTAGGGAATAAAACTCATCCCAAACTTATTTAAATCACCCCCAAACACTAATTAATCCAATCCAACGATGAAATCCATGGATTACATCAATCCTTGATAATAACATAAGCATTCATGGGGTTTTTGACTAAGGGACCATTTACAAAACACTTATTAGGGTAAACGCTTACCAACTCACATTATCTTGTCGGATGAACATGACAAGGATCAAAAATCTTATCCGATAAGTACAAGGCAAAGACCTAGAGTCTTACCCGACAAGTGAAGGAGACCAATCTTACCATGGTTAGCGTTTACCGGGTAAATTATTGCACATATATGTTTTTGTTGACTAAAATCTTATCCGATAAGTAAATGATGGTGTTGAATTTTACCAATAAGCGCTTACCAGATAAGTGTTTGGTAAACGACCTCTAAATCTTATCCCAAATCACCATAAAATTACTTGTAGCATGAAGTTCTCATCAGGAATGGTTTTCTCAACAACTTACAACCATTCTTTTTTGGCAAATCCAACCACATCAAACTATAGTGGTTACTTAATCTTATGATAGAGGCACCTCGTAAGATTGTAGTTATGTTATCAAGTCCTGCATGATAGGAATATTAGACGTTGATCATATGATAATATAATGGCATTGTCCAGAATAACAAACTTATACTAACAACTTTCTATTTTTAATAGAAACATAATGAATGCTTAGCTATCGATAGTTTAAAAAGAAGCTAAAAAGTGCAGTTGACATGACATAATGTGATATACACAAAACTAGAACACAAATATCAATAAATAATAACAAAGAAATGTGTGGATGCAACAAACTACAACTTGATGGCCAATCTTTATGTCATGAATTAGAGAGTTAGGTTAAAGGTAAGTTTATATCGTTGTCTAACACTATTTTCGACAAAGAAACAAGCTGTGTAGAGAAAAAGGTTGGCCAAAACATATTTTAGGTCAACTAAAGTTATAATGCTATACTGCTTAATAACTCATTAGTATTAATTTCCAAAAAAAAACTCATAGTTTACCAGATGTTACAAAAACATTGATCTTTCATGTATGTATTGGAGAAAGACGGAACAATAAGAACCATTTGGGAGGACAATGTGATGGTCACTAACATCTAAACTAGATGTTACAGGGGATGAGATTAAATATCAGTTTTCATATATAAAAAGATTATATTATGGTGGCATCAAATGGGCACTATAACCTCAATGGCAGCAATGATTAGATGATCTAACTTTCAAGTTGGTAATGGTGAACATGATGACATTTGTAAGTTTTTACCGGAGGATGATCATAATGACACACAATACATATAACGTGAACCATGATTCAAATATACTATAAATAACATACAAGTCATAATAATTAACACATCCTCAAAAGACCAACTTGGTCAAACTAACTCTGACGTTATAAAGACGTGTTAGAATCGTATGGTTTTGAGGTGTACGTTGTTGAACTTTTTGTCTGGTTATGTACCAAGTTTGTTATAAGTTTTGCAATTAATGTACCAAGAATGTATTTTCCCATCATCTAATTCTAATACTTTAAAAACAACTTCAAATATAATATGATAGTAACAAGAAATGTAGTGGGTAGGAGGCTGCCAATGTTTTTGAAGCATATTTGTCAACTCACCTAAAAAATTTGTTTAACTCATCTCTCTCTCTCTCTCTCTCATCTCTCTCTCTACCATCTCTGTCTCTCTCTCTCTCTCTCTCTCTCTTATGTGGGGTTTCCCAATACACATAAAAGCATCACAAAGTTGGGGTTTTCTTTTCATTTTAACCAAATTAAGTTGTCCATACATCTTCCTCCCTCTGTGATATATCTCTCTTCTCTCTTGGTTGGAGAGATTATAGTATCAAGAGAAGATATGGCTGTTGTTGATCAGAAGGAAGAAGTCAAACTCAGGAAGTCGAAGAACATGGACATTGTTCCAACGACGACACTTGCCACCATCGAATCCTTGACCTTCCCTCTTGTAATTGGTTCTTCTAGCTCTCATTTTATCATCATTTTGTTTTTAATTTGCTAATTGGTGTTGTTCTCTTTCGTGAAAACAGGTTCAAGAAGTTGTTTTTTTGGCCGATTTTCGATGTAAAAGGTGTCAAGATAGAGTAGCGGATATAGTCTCCAGATTGAATGGTAAGTTAATTAAACCCCTTTTCAAGATTTCTTGATTTTCCGGTTGCGGGATTTGATTGGACCTTATGATTACAGTTTTTGAGCCTTTCTAGAGTTCTTGATTTCAGGCAACGTAAGTTGGCCTATAAGTCCCATCACAATTTTGGGTCTTTTCAAGATTTCTTGATTTCCCGGCAGCCTAAGTTGACCGGTAAGTCTGATCACATTTCGAGTCGTTCAGGCTTTCTTGATTTTCCGGTTGGCTATTTTGGCCGGTACTGTTTAGATTCTTTTCAACATCGAAGTTCATATTGTGTAAAGATTTCTTGAATTTCCGGTGTCCCAAACTCGATCGTGCCTCATGATCAACGTCTTTCTTTTCCGGTGGCCTGATAATTTGGCCGTTGAAAAAGTGTCTTGTTCAATCTCCATCACCATCACCCTCACCCTCATCCTCATATATATAGGGCCAGCTAGCCGTTGCAAATTCACCATAGCTGTACTAGAAAGGACTTTCGATTATTGCAATTATTTAACTTTTAAATTGTTAAAAGAATTAAATATTTATAGGTTTTATTTTCGTCCTGATGTTTTTTACAATCTTTGTTTTTTTCCTTATACGGATCATGTGATTACATTTTTACAACAAGATGGGTCTTTAGGGTGTGTTTGTTGTCCATACAGGATAGGACATGATATGATAGAACAACCGTTCAACGTTTGATAAGATAAAACTGAACTGAACAAAACATAACAAATAAAATGATCATTTTACCCATAATAAGTTGTTTATTTAATTAATTTATGTAATTTATTAAATTATAATAGAATAATTATTTTTTATAACAAAATATACCATTAGAAAATTTTCATAAAAACAATTAAAATGACACCAAATAAAAAGTTTATATAGTTTTCAATT